TTGACTTTTCATCTTTTATTGCCGAAGCCATCATTAGCAAACCAGGTGATCCGTTGTCTCAGAAGAATATCACCGTCCTAAGAGACACAGGAGCGTCACAATCACTCCTTTTGAAAAGTTCAATGGACATTACACCTAAGACGAACACCGGAAGGATTTCCATTATCCAGGGAGTGGGGACAAAATCAACTGTCGTCCCTTTACACAAGTTTGCCCTGAAACATCATCTCGTCGAAGGTGAGGTCATTTTAGGTGTGATAGATAGTATTCCTGTCCCAGGAGTACACCTACTTCTAGGGAATGACCTTGCGGGAAGCAAAGTATACCCCTGTACGGTTTCAGACCCTTTGTCAACAGTTCCAGATAATGATTATGAACTGTATCCTGCATGTGCGGTGACAAGAAGCCAGACCAAACAATTGGCTGACACAACGTCTGAACCACATCTACCATCATCGTCAAGAAATTCGACTCCCAAACTGGAGTCTATGCTTCCAGAAAACACAAGCTTGGGCTTACCCCTGAGGATATCTCAGGAAGACATCATTAAAGCTCAACAAGTCGACGCGGAACTCAAAGCAACGGTCGAAAAATCTCTATCAGCTGACGATGGAGAATATTTCTCCGAGAACGGCCTCTTCTTTCGTCGCGCTATACCAGTGAATGCCTCACCAGCCGAACCATGGTTGGGTAAAAACCAGCTGTGGGTCCCTCCACCTTATCGGCATGAAATACTTAAGCTGGCACATGACCATCCAATGTCAGCGTACCCAGGAGTCGCTAAAACGACGGCGAAGATCAAAGAACTGTTCTTTTGGCCCAAAATGAGAAATGATGTGTCGCGTTACTGTAAAAGTTGCACGAACTGTCAGTTGGCCGGAAAGCCAAACCAGACAATTCCTAAGGCCCCTTTGAGTCCGATTCCTGTATTAGAAGAACCTTTTTCTAAAATCGTCACGGACTGTGTAGGTCCCTTGCCTAAAACCAAGGCGGGCAACGAGTACCTACTTACCCTTATGTGTTCAAGTACCCGTTTTCCCGAGGCGATTCCCTTACGGAACATTAAGGCAAAGACTGTAGTCAGAGCCATGACCCGGTTCTTCACTACCTTTGGATTACCTAGAATCGTGCAAACAGATCAAGGCAGCAACTTCACCAGTCACCATTTTCAGGAAGCACTAGCCAAGCTAGGCGTTACCCACATCACCAGCTCAGCCTACCACCCTCAGTCTCAAGGCGTACTTGAGAGGTTCCACCAAACCCTCAAAACCATGCTAAGAACGTTCGCTGACAGTAACACCCAATGGGATGAGTCTGTTCCTTGGATTATTTTCGCCGCGAGGGACTGTGTCCAGGACTCTTTAGGCTACTCGCCTTTTCAACTTGTGTTTGGACATTCTGTCCGTGGCCCCCTGAAGCTGATACACGAACGTTGGACAGGTACCAGTGATCATCCAGTGGAAAACTTCGACGATTTTCACGTTCGACTGAAAGCCGTGTGCGAAATGGCTCACAAGAACTTAAGAAAGGCCCAAGTGAGAATGAAAGAACTGTATGATAAGAGTTCTTGTAAACGAACATTCAATCCAGGCGACAAAGTTCTTGTGCTAGTGCCTAATCTGAACAATGCGTTATCCTTGAGATATTGTGGACCCTTTACTGTGCATTCAAAATTAAGTGATTTGAACTATGTTGTCAATACGCCCGACAGAAGAAAGAAACAGACAGTGTATCATGTTAATTCACTGAAAAAGTATTATGATAATTGTAACAATTTTCATTCCACAGCTAAAATTACTTTACCTGTATGTTCAAATGTTTCTGATGATGTGATACATGATAAATTGAAACCCCCAAAATTGGTAAATTCTTCCTTTTTGGATAATTTGAATGTCCACCTTATGCATTTGTCCACAGAGGAAAGCCATAGATTGTCTCAGTTATTCGAGACATTTCCCTCTATTTTTGGGGACGTCCCCAAAGAAGCGAAGGTTCCACCTCATGATGTAGACGTAGGTGACGCAAAACCCATTAAACAACACCCCTATAGAGTTAATCCGGAAAAAGCTGTTTTGATAAAAGATGAAATTGACTATATGCTCAAGAATGATATCATTGAGCCCAGTTTCAGCAACTGGAGTTCCCCATGTCTCCTAGTACCGAAAGACGGTGGGTCTTTCAGGTTTGTGACCGACTTTAGGAAGGTGAATGCGCTCACCAAAGCTGATTCCTATCCATTACCTCGGATAGAAGACGTTATTGATAAAGTTGGTCAGGCTAAGATAATTTCCAAAATTGATTTACTTTCAGGATACTGGCAAATCCCCTTATCTGACCGTGCAAAAGAAATATCTGCTTTTGTAACCCCTAATGGTTTTTATAGATACAAACGTATGCCCTTTGGTATGCGAAATGCTGGTCAAACTTTCCAGAGGGTCATTAACTCTGTCATTGCTGACATAGACCAATGTGAGGCCTACATAGATGATATAGTTGTATTTTCTAATACTTTTGAAGAACATATTGTTCAGTTGACTAACCTTTTTAGAAAATTGTCTGAAGTGAATTTTACTGTAAACTTACATAAAAGTGATTTCTGTAAAGCTTCAATTACCTATTTGGGTTACCAAGTGGGAACGAACCAAGTTCGACCCATTGAAGCTAAAGTAGATGCTATTGTAAGGTTACCACCTCCCAAAAATTGTAAAGAGATCAAAAAGTTCCTTGGGATGGCTGGTTACTATAGGCGGTTCTGTCAAAAATTTTCAGCTATTGCTGAACCTCTTACTGCATTATTGAAAAAGGGTGTTGAGTTTGAATGGTCAGATAAATGTCAAGAAGCTTTTTTAACCATTAAGTCATTTCTATCTAATGCTCCTGTTATGGCTGCACCAAATTTCAGCAAGCCCTTTAAACTTGCCATTGATGCTAGCAACTTAGCCATTGGCTCAGTCCTATTTCAAGAAGACAACATGGGAATTGACCATCCCATTGCCTTTTTTTCCAGGAAGTTAAATGAAAACCAAAAGAATTACTCTACTATTGAAAAAGAAGCTTTAGCTTTGGTTTTGTCATTACAACATTTTGAGGTCTATGTCTCTTCTTCAACCAATCCAGTCAGAGTGTTTTCTGACCATGATCCCCTGAAATTTACCTCTAAGTTAGGACAGACAAATCAAAGAATATTGAGATGGTGTTTATATTTCCAAAATTTTAATCTGGAAATTTCACACATTAAGGGTAGTGATAATGTTGTGGCTGATTGTTTGTCAAGGATGTAAGATCTTATTGTACACATCGATCATGTGTCATGTTTTGTGGTTCATTAGGACCATACACAGGTGTTGTGTTTTAACATGAAAATGAGTGGTATGATTTTTGATTTTTTCGAAATTCCAATCCTGTTGAATATTTTGTTTATTTTCAGGTGAACCTTAATTAAAGGTGGTTTTTGATTATATGTAATCTTTTATAATAATATGTCTCATATGACTCAGTTGATATTGTAGCTAGTCATTGAAATAAAGGTCTTACCCTGGCGGGTTTACCACTTTTAATATCCTCATGGAAATATTGTAATACCCTTTTTTGAGGGATTTTGATGTATAATTACTTTTTGAAGGGTTACTCCCCTTTCACCAATTGTAAAAGTTGGAGTTACTTCCCTTTTATGTGAGGGATATTTTCATCTGGTATTATGATTTTGATTGCCTACGTTTGTAAAACATTTTTTTTATTTCATTGCCAGATTGGTTCCTTATGTATGTTTTTGTGGAACCTATCTGTCACTTCCAAAAAGGGAGGGGATGTGACCTACTTAGGTCGAGTCAGGTTCCATTTTTCATTTTGACATTGTATAATACCTTATATGGAATGATTGTGCAACACCTGGGGTTTTTCCACTGACTTATTAAGGTGTCTAGGGCCCAGAAAATTTCCATTAAGATCTGATTGAATGATTCTAATCAGATGACCATCCCAACCAATGGCTACATGAGTTGAGGATAATCTCCCCTGTTGCAAGAGTCTTTAACTGCCCCGCACACTCGCAACACGAGGCAGTCTACAGGGCGAGTTTACCTTGATCAGGCCGTCTACCTTGATCAAACAGTCTATTAAGACCAAGCCGTCCATATTGTCCGGCAACAGAGTCTGACCATTTGAACGTGAGAGAACTTAAGTCCTGTGTGTGCCTTGCTTTCTTAAGTTGATTTAGTCTTCGAGTATAATATTACTTGTCGCCAAGTAATTCTGGAAGCTTTAGCAGTGTAGTGTGGCCTGTGGCTATTTTTAGACAGTGTAGAAATCTGTGATAGTGTTTTTCCTACATTTTGTAAGTTGGATTTTGATATTTTATACATTAAATATTTTATCTAGTTCAGCCTTGTGTTTTGCCACAACTGAGTTCGCTGATTAAAGGTTGTGTGTAGATTGGATGAATGTTAATTACAATAGTATCACTAGATCTAGTTATCCCTAGACATAGAATTCGAGCCCTAGTGTGCCGTTGTGTTAGTGTTCATCCACTTAGGCCGTAAGGCATTTGCATATGACCCCGAAAAAAGAATCCGGGGACGTTCACCGTCTATTTGGCTGATAGATAGGTAAACGTTACACATTAAAGAAATTGCAAGAAAACCACTTTTTAGATTAGACACATTAATTAGGCGGTAATTTTATTATAGAGTATCGATGAAGAATTTCTAATAGTTTCGCTGTCTGTCTATCTGACAAGAACGCTCTGTCTGACAAGAACGCTCTGTCTGACAAGAACGCTCTAGAGAAAACACAAGCAAAATAAAAACATGCACAGTAATTTGAAAAACGAAGTATGACGCGGTCACATTTAGCATAGAGTAGAAAATAATCTCAAGCACACAGTGTGCACACAGTAATATGACGTCATTGATTCTCGAGTAAACATTGAATTAAAAAGGAAATGAAACACATACAAGTGTAAAATATTTAAAAATTCGTTTATTCCTTGATGTCAAAATTGTTTAAATCTGCCTTATTTTCATTTCCGTGAATGTAGCCGAGTTGTAAAAACCTGTCGTAGGATACCAATTGAGACCCTTGCCGAACACGACATTTCTCCAAAGTCCGTTCAGATTGGCAAAATGACAGTCATTATACCACCAGCCTCCGTGGAAACGCTTGGCGCAATTTAATTTTGTGTCTCTGTCGAATGTCCTAAACTTTTGATTGTTGTGATGTTCAGTAAGAGCATCCCCAGCATTGCCTGTGTAACCGCTGATGTTAAGTCTGTAACCTTCTAACTCTGAATACACCTGAAACTTGGCATATTTCGCGTAGTATTTTTGCCATTATATGTGAAGTCGATCCTCAATTCGTGTCTTCTGGATATCGTCAACTGGTGGATTTTCTCGTTGCCCAGGTAAAACTCACCTTTATCCAAATCTCCAAACCCGAACTTGTACTCCTCCCACCCCCGATAGAAATCCAAGTGTCCGTTAAATCTTCTCTGGATCATCGTCCAGCCTCCCCCCTCTGTTTCGGTGTCGCACATCACCTCTAGTCCACTCGCCAGAACGACTATTGTCCTTGATGAGTCGTTCGTCGCATCTTTGCAAGATTCCAGGACTGGTAAATCAATTTCCAATGTTCTAGTTTTGAGGCTATCTAAACATTTTAAAAGATAAATAAAATAAAAAATACATTAGAATAAACATATCTAGATTTAAAAACTCAGAAATAAATTTCAGGACAAATTCACAAATGGAAAAGAATTCTGAGCTCAATTTATCGGTGTACTAATCAAATCCGTGTAATTAGAATAAACTCTTGGGTACGTGCATGTGTGGCTTAACCCAGACCGATTGCACTAAAACTTTAGTCGTAATTAATCTAAAAAAACATGATCAACTTATAAAAGTTATTACCATAAAAAAAATAATGGTCCCTAAAACATGCTTAAATCAATTTATAAAAAAAAACACCCCAGCATTTCACTGATGATAAATCAAAAGAGACAAAAAAAATTGTTTAAATTAATTCATAGAAAATTAATCAGGCAACCAATTAAATCAAATTTAATGTCTTGTTGCATTGTCTTCATGTCTTGCCCCACGTACCAACTACGAACCGCATCTGTCAGTTAGAAGAGCCTGCACTTTCGCTCGGGCGTTTTGATCTAGACAGACTGACGACTGACGACAGAGGAAGTGAGTTAAATAAAAGCTTGTAAAAACCAAAAGGACTAACACACCACAACCGTCACCCAAGCCGTACTTGCGGTTGAGAATGAAAAAGGTTCTCGGTGTGTGCGAGGGCCGAGATCATCTGAAGTGCTGAAAGAAAGTTTTTTGTATTATTTCTGTAGTATGTTTCTTTAGAATCTATCTAGATTTAAGTTTAGACAAGCACCCAAGCCAGACAAGAAGTCAGAATGTTCTCTATTGAACCCCACGACTATCATCATTGAGCTCTTCGTCAAGGAGGTGCACACCTCATGGAAACTAGGAAGGTCCTCTCGGTAGAAGAAAGGAAAGACCTCCTCTGGCAATAACTGAGGGAACCAGTCAGGAGAATTTAGGCTACAGGGGAGACAACCTATAATACGACCCTGAAGAATTGCGTCTCCCAACTCATATTATTTAAAAGTTAATATTAAGCAGCGTTTTGAATTATAAATGGTCAAATTAAAGAAATGAAATGACTACAGGCCTTTACTTACTGATTTAATTCTTATCTACCTTGATTGTGTTGACTGTGAAACTGTACAACATGTACCCCTAAGAAAAAGAGACCGGCAAAAACCGCTCTCCAGGTATTTCTAGATGGGGGGGGGGGGGTGGCTTTTATCACTTACTAAAATCAGAAATATGTACACTGAATTGATGAGAAGATAATCTTTAACCCTTATATTCAAGCGTAGTGTACGATTGTGTAACCGTAAAAAAAATAGTGACGTTAAAACCCAAACAGTTATTGGTCAAAACGCAATGTGCTTTACTACACGCTGAACGATATTAGTGACAAAGCAAAGAAATAACTAATTAGCTAAAAATCCGACACATTTAACCCGTACCACCCGCATGGTACCTTATGAAACATGAAGAATAAAAGACCTATTTAAGAAACTTAACTTACGCGAATAACCCTATTCTTTCAAAGCAAAATTCATCCCAAGTTAGCCAATTCTATAGCTAACTCAAGATTTTTGTAAAATAATTAAGGCCTGAAATAGCTTAATATAGAAATGTATTATGGGAATAGAATCTAGAGTACATAGTCTAAATCTAGATCTTAGCGTCTAAGTCTAGTTTTTCCGTAGATCTAGTCTAGATCTAGAATCTCTAGATCTAGAATCCAAATAGATAAAGTAAACTTTTTAAGTGTAGGCCAAGAAAATTTTATTGTATACATTTCATAGCGTACGTAGATCTAAACCAAATTTGAATGAAATAGTTCATTTCTTTATATTCTAAATTAGGAAGATGACGCCATGAGTTTTATGTGCTTTCCTTACTGTAAACAATTTGCATGTGACGTCATTGTTTTATGCGTCCTTTTTTACAACTATAAACATTTTTCCTGTTGCATAATTAAAACTGCTTTTCTACATTTGAATATGCCTTTATTTTTTATTTTCGTTCTTTAATTAAAATTTTGTTTATCCAAAAGTCCGTATCAAGTTCTCCATGTATCGCTGAAGATTCTGATGTGATATCCTGTGAAAATATTTTGCGGACAGAAAGAGAGAGAGAGAGATAGAGAGAGAGAGAGAGAGAGAGAGAGAGAGAGAGAGAGAGAGAGAAGTGCGCACATGGGCTTTAATATATTAGGATTAATAACGACTAAGTGTAACCAGTATGGGTTTAGCCAAACTTTCACTCACCCAATAGCTTAGGAATTAGAATAGTCGTCGTCCCCCTTCCCCCCCCCCCCCCACCCCCCCCCCCCCCCCACCCCCATTTCAGGGCTGACATATAGGAAAAAATATCTCAAGAAAAGAAATAACTAACGATAATTTTTAAAGGTATGAAAAATTTGTAGTTAATCTTTCTAAACAATACATATATTTCTGCTGCATTTTCTGTTTTGAAAAAAACCCATTTAACTAAGAGATACATACCTATAGAATGTTCGGCCATAATCATTTGAGACACTAAGATCGTGCAGAAAACCCAAACCGAAAGTAGGAACATTTTCTACTGTCGAGGAATACCAACGTGTAAACTTGGTTGATTGAACATCTGCGTTTTATATCGCCTTTTTTTTTTAAACGTCGACGTATTTTTGCAGTGGCGTTTTTGTCGACTTGATTCAGGCCTGAATGGGAGGGGGGGGGGGCACCCAACCAATAGCAATTGTTGTAAACAATCGTAGTTTAATAAAAGGAATATTACAAAAGAAAATTGCATAAAATTAACAGGAGGATGTTTTTTATATGCAGTTTACTATTTGTCGCGATTAATGTCATTTCTTTGAAACACACAGAGGCTTCTGATAAAGAAAATCTTGGCGGAAAATTGGCGATGACGTTAAGTACTAAACGTTGTCAGCGTCATGATTCAATATTGCATAACGTAGTAAAACTTTTTTATGATCTAAAACACACTAAACACTACCACTGCTTGACCCAACACTACCACAAATTCCCTCAACTTAACTTTGTAATTCACTCAACATAACTTTGTAATGATCTAACGCGGCTTCATTCAACACTATTATTTAATAATTAAAACACGTTTTAAAATTATTTTGATTAGCTAAATAAAATACTTTACCTAATTACTGACCTGGCCTTTCTACATTTGGATATATATATATATATATATATATATATATATATATATATATATATATATATATATATATATATATATATATATATATATATATATATATATATATATATTCCTAAAAATTTAGGACGAAATAAAAACGATGATTATATTACATTTACAATTTGAAATGAGGAGGGAGGTGTATGTGGGTAACATCTTCCATGACTATGCAAATGTCATTATGTTCACAGATTTTAATTTAATTAATGCAGTCTGATCGATTCAGACAATTTAATCAAGTTAATTCGCTTTAGGCCATAACATCCCCATATTAAATGACAGTTAACTAATTGCATTTTTATTATTACGCTGTGCTGGATTGTAGTTTGCGGCCAGTGTAGAATTTAAGTATAAGCTAAACAAGATATAGCTTAGACCCGCATTCTTGGGTCATCTAAAAGTACTTTTATAATATTGACTGGAGTCTGTTGAAATTTAGTTTTAAGCATTTTTTATTATTTCATTTTTTTCGTGGAAGTCGCGTACTCTTTCCTCTCTAGTTGCTAACACACTTCGTTCGATAAAATTTAAAAAAAAAAAAGTAGTGCCTCCTTCCCATCTATTTGTGTTTGTGGTCTTTGATTTTTGGCTAGTAATGTCGATTCAAGTATTTTTCTAATCTTGTTTATTTTCAGTTTCTATTGCTTTGACTGTCTTAGATATTTTATTGGTGTTTTCAATTTGATTTACGAATCAGCAGGTCAATGTGGTTATTGTTTTGAACACGATATACGCATTTGTTGATAGGTAGATTCGATTGATTTTGGATTGCTTTGAAACCATGATGTACCTTTTGATATTAATTGTCTGAATTGAATCCAAAGAATAATATAATTGAAAGAAATTTTTTTTAAAGAATTCTCGAAAGTATTTAGAGTGAATAGAATGACATGCTTGGAGCTCGATTTTGTAAGTGAAAACGTTTGTGATAATTTGTGATAGGGTTTTAACGTTATTTTTACCGTTTTTCCCGAGTGACTGATTTCCTTACTTGCGAAATGCTTTCATTTGTCCTGATTTATTTTGTCCATATATCTTTTGTCCCTGAGATCTTTTGTCTTGAAATCATTTGTCCTGAGATCTTTTGTCCTGAGATAATTTGTCCTTGAGATATTTTGTCTGGCATAAATTGTCTGAGATCATTTGTCCTTGAAATATTTTGTCTGGCATAATTTGTCTGAGATCTTTTGTCCTGAGATCATTTGTCTGAGATTATTTGTCATGAGATCTTTTGTCCCGTCACCAAAAAAAAATGTATAGGTGCAATAACATAAAGTGTTTTAAAAATTGTAGGGCATCTATAAAGTAATTATACATCTGTTCATATAATATATTTAAAAGGCATTCATAAACCCATCATCGTTTTGTCTATTGCTTCGGCATCTATGCAGTGTTTATGCGCATGTTCCATACAATATATTTTAAGATATCCATATGGTAATTATGTTCGTAAAAATTATTATACATTTTCGGAGCGTCTTTAAAGCTTCTTATCTGTTCCTTAACGACTATAGTGATTTGTGGATGCATATATATATATATATATATATATATATATATATATATATATATATATATATATATATATATATAATTAATTTTAAATAAATAACAGAGCCACTGGACTTTTGTTAAGCCCATATTGATTCAATTAATTGTGGGTGTTAAAAGGACATGTTCTACGTTAGTGGAATATCCCTCACCTGAACTGGATAGGCCGTTACTCTTCTTCTTCGTTCTTAAATTTAGTGTTGGAAGGGATCCCCTTTAACTCAATTATATATACGTGTCAACTGGTTATGCGCAATTGAGACCATTGACTCCGATTTCTGCCTGCTTTTTCTTTTTGGATTTGCTTCCATAGTCTTTGTCCAACCAAGAAAAAACTACAAGGCAACAGTTGTTTGATTTGTTGTCGCTCCTAGAAGAGTGGGTGTCCCCAGCTAACGAGCCTCATCTGCCCGAGCGTGCGGCGTCAAAACGGCCAATGACAAAACGGCCCTGTCAAAACGACCCCGACAAATCGGCCCCGACATATGAGTCCCGTCAAATTGACCCCGTCAAAATGGCCAGCGACATATGGACCCCGTCATAAAGGCTCCCGATAAATAGGCTCCCGTCATTTAGGCTCCCGACAAATAAGCTCCCGTTATATAGGCTCCCGACAAAAGGGCTTCAGTCAATAAGGCTCCTGACAAATAGGCTCCCGTCATTTTGGCTCCCGTCATTTTGGCTCCCGATATATAGGCTCTCGTCATTTAGTTTTTTCCACAAAACGGCCCCCGTCCTTACGACTCCCGACAAATAGGCTAGCGTCATTTTGGCTTACGACAAAAAGGCTCCTGTCAATTTGGCTCCAGACAAAAGGACCACTGACAATACCGTTTCTGTAGAGACTAAGTCTCCCGGCAAAGCGGTCTCATTGAATATGACACCTGCCAGTGGGACCCCTTCATCAATATTCTTTAGAGTTAGCTTATCCAACACTCTTGTTCGGCAGGCCTTATTTTTATATTAGTTTATCTATTATAAAATAAAGTATGTTTTAATTTAAGGGTCATCTATCTATGACTTCCATAATTGAGTCGGTTATAGGCTGTTCCAACTCAGTGTGTGGGGAAAAGGGTCCACGCTGTACCTTCCTACCTCCAGTATGCTTGTAGGTTATCAAAACAAAATGTCGTTATCCTGTAAACATCATGTATATCGTACATTTTCACTTCTGTGCTCGCTTTTATGCAACAGATCTTTACTGTTGTAAATTAAACATTATCAAAATTTTAGAATTGGTAGATTTTAGCTGTTAAGGGCTTGATATGTTTGTGAATTGATGTTGGTTCATAAAAAACAATTTCATTCAAGCATTAAAAAGAGGTTATAATAGTAGTGGAGGTAGGACAAAATGGTTACTTTTATGCCAATAGTGGGGTGCCCTGTCAAAACGGCCCAGGACAAATCGGCCCCGTCAAAACGGCCCCGTTAATATGACCCCGTCAAATCGACCCCCGACAAAACGACCCAGTCAAAATAGCCCCGTCGAAAGGGCCCGACTTGTTGGCTCCCGTCAAATGGGCTCCCGTTATATTGACTCGCGACATATAGGCTCCCGACATAAGGGCTCACAACAAATGGGCTCCCGACAAATGGGCTCATGACATATTGGCTACCGACAAATGGGCTTCCGACATATTGGCTCCCGACAAATGGGCTCCCGACATATTGGCTACCGACAAAATGACTCCCGACATATTTTAAAAATCCAAACTAAAAAAAAACAACAACCAATAAATGAATGTAAAATGGTACTTATGTTATCGTGTTTACAGACACAAACACAAACAGACAAACGGATAAGATTGCAAAACTATGGGTTTTTTTCGACTCAGGGAGGCGTACGATTACAATACTTTTTCTATACTTCGTATACGAGAAAGTAAAAATACACACTCACAAATGCATATAAACCTATGGGATAATCAGCACTGATTAATACGACCATGTACAAAACAAAAAGCAGAAGTAGGAACATGTTTTGTCGATGAGTCGAACCCAATAAACGAATTGTGATGATTGACATTGTAGGTTTTATTTTTAATGTATCCTTGCAGAGGCGTTTCAATATCGACTTCTGCACACTCGTTTATGGAACTTTTAGTCAAAAACAATTGAGTTCTTGTACGCAGTTTGATAAAAATATAATTTTAATAGCTGTTTTTAAACAATTTATGCGATTTAATTATTTTAAATGTATTGTTTAATTCCTGTCAATTTTTAAAGATAGTTAAAAGGATATATGGGTGCAGATTTAGTTGGAACGGGGCCGCGAGCTGAAAAGTTCTGGAGGAAAGGGGTGCAAAAAAATCTAATCGTGTTAGAAAATTACTTCCTTTAGTCCCTTAGCACCTATTACTTTCCTTGATAGATCACACACACACACAATGTGGCATGTGACGTCATTGTTTATTACGTTCTTGTCACAACAATAAACACTTTAACTAGAAATCTGATTCTCTACATTCGAATATGCCTTTATTTTTTTTTTTCCTTTTTTAAATAAAATTTAGTTTTTACATTTATAACATCCACCATATTATTTTCAACAAAAGTCCGTATCTTTAAGTTCTCCATATATAGCTGAACAGGCTGACGACGTTGCCGAAAATATTGCAGAGGGAAGTGCGTAAATGGTCACTTATATATTAGGTTATATATATATATATATATATATATATATATATATATATATATATATATATATATATATATATATATATATATATATATATATTTGATAAATTACCCAGTATAAATAATATAAAAATAAAGACATCTGTCTCGTGTTTTACCAACAATAAAAGAAATTATCGTATTTGTAAACTTAACAGGTAGGACAAAAAGGTAATGACATCTATAATATCACAATATCACAGTTGGTAATAAGTATGGCTTCAAGATCAGGTTCGATAATTTTTCAATGATGTTTCATCACTTGGTCGTTCTTTTTAATTAAATTGATTTCATCAGGTTTACATTAGATTTGTAATTACAGCTGGTCAGTTTCATTTCCTAACTCTTTGACACTCTTAAATACCATTCATATCAATTGTCTATGTTTAAATATCACTCATGTCCATTGTCTATGTTTAAAATCAAAATCTGCATCCATGAACACAGGGACGTTGACAAGCGGAGCGCAGATCCCGCTGAGAAACACGTCATCCAGCCAGACTCTAGGAATCCTTAGTGCGGCCTCGTACAGAAGCTTAGCCGTGGTAACGGGAAACCCCATAGCGCCTCCTAGCACGTGGGGCGGGAAGGTGGCCGGCTTGTATTCGTCAGGAGAAACGTAGTTCTTCACAGCAGGATTCCTCTGCACGATATTCATCGTGTTCCACCGCCCTAAAATAAAATTCCCGTAATTTTTCCGATAGCGTTGCAGTGCGTTGATCGCAATGGCGACTTTGATCCCGACGTCGTCGTCCGATTTGATGACGTACTTCGCACGCGAGCAGAACGTGCTGACCCATTTCAGCACCGATACCGTTTTCAACGTCAAGTTTTTGTAAGCGTCGATAAAATTATCTTGCACGATGTCGCCGAATCGCCTCATTTCCATGTTGATTTGAACTTGGAACCGTCGGGACTTGTTATGGTGATCCGACCGGCCTAAGAAAAACAACAGCGTCGCGTTGTTGCTTCTCTCGTGCGAGTAAGAGCCTTTTAATCCTTCTCGTGTTTTCATCCGGAATTCGAAATTATCCGGCGCGGACGGGACGGCTAAGACGACGTCGATTTTTCTCCTGATGCATTCGTCTTTTGGGTTGTGAATGTACGAGTAATCATGAGTTGTGATAACTGGTCTGGTTAGCAGTTTAAAAACAGATTTTTGTTGTATATATTCGCGTTTCAGAGTCCAGTTCATCGATCGTATAACGTCGCTGTCGATTATAAAGTTATTTTCGAAATTATTATTAATATTATTAGGCAATGACAAAATTGTTAGCTTTTCTTTTTCTGTTTCGAGTTTTTTCATTTTATCGCGTATGCAAGCAGCTAACGATTTTATAAAATCTTTCCGCGAAGCATTTTCTTTTCCGGTCAAGGCAGCGCTAAGTACCGAGAGTTTCAAATCTTTGCCTGTGTCCTCGTTGGTTTCGTGGTAATCGTATCCGTCGTAGTCCTCCATTTTGTCTTTCATGCGCGTAGTCAGCAGTATGAAGACGTTCGCGAACACGGACAGAAAGAACATGCCGACGATAGCGCACTGAATGGTGGCCCTCTTCTTTGGTGACATCATCTTTTTACCGGCCCTGTGAATGGTGGTTTGAGAGAAGAAAAAAAAATTGTTGAAGTTTTTTGAGTGATAGACACGGTGATGTTTATTAGTCGATTATAATTGTCTGTGTCTATTCATATTTTATTATAATTCCATGGTTGTTGTTTTTTTGTTTGTTTAAATCTTTATTTACTATTAAGATACCCCTTCCCTTTTTTCCTTACTAGTCATCCATAAACGCCAAGTATCTTCCAGGCATCTCTTCGGGGGTGGGGGGCTCTGCCGCACCCCCCTTCCGCGAACGAAATGGAATTTATATAGAAAACATATACTTTTACCAGTGTCCGCCCCCCAGAAAATGTTGTCCGCCCCCCCCCCCTCCCCGAAAATATCAAGCGCCCCCCCCCCCCCGGACAAAAAAATAAACATTGCATAAATGGCATCATCCTTTTAAAAAACGTTTTCATCATCCTCCCTCCCCATCTTCACACAAGAAGCCAGAACCCCCTAATATGCCGTCATGTATTAGCCTACATCTTCCCCCCTCCTCACAAAATTGCTCTTTAAAAAAAATATTTCTTTTGAAAATGTCTTAGTCAATATCAATCAATTTCTATTTATTTACTAAATAAAGTCTTTAAAAAAAAAAAAACACGAATTAACTGCTAAATTTAAGACATTTCTAACTTAATTTTTTTGAAACACAAACGTGAGTTGTCACACTTTCTAAAATCACCCCCACCCCCCCCCCCCCCCCCACCGGGGGTTTGGTCATTCTAACCTTAGACTGTACCTAACTAAACAAGTTAATTAAAAAGTCTAGTGACATTTATGCGCAATTTCCTTATGTTATCTAAAAATAGCTCTGACGTTTAATGCTGGGGTACGTTCAAGCTAGAAGAACGATCGGTTTGTAGGTGTTTATGTAATTTTAAAATTTGTGACGAAAGGATATTTTTGAAAACTTTCTTCGGCAATATTGTTCTAAATTATGGCAGGAATCGATTGGTAAATGTTTCAAGTCGCTAAGTGGTCTGGTTGCCGAGATATGGGCCAAAAACTGCATTTTTTCGAGGATTTTTTTTGGCTTTTCCGTGAAATCCAGGAAGGAATTCCGGAATTTTTTTGGCCCATTATCATCCTCGTAACTTGCTCAACAAATTTGCTTTGGAACTAGTCCTCGATATTGCTTCGTTGAGGAGGAGATACGACTTAAAGCCTAATAAAGCTGCGAACACACATCCATACATTCATACATCCAGAAATGACGGGTTAATAAACGCAATTCTCCAGAATGGAAATTGCGCTAAAAAGTCAGTAAGTTAAATCTATACTTCTATAGATCTAAATTCCAGTGGTAACAACAACAAAAAAGAGGATTTAATTTTTTTTATCTTTTCTAAATATTAGGCTTGAAAAGCTGGTTCCAAATAATTGTTTCCAGAAAGCATATTTTTCAACCAAAATTGAATATTTTATAACATTTGAGAAATAAGTACAAAATTACTTCCGATTTTATTAAAGCTAGAAATATTCGAAAGAAATTATTAGCAGTAATATAATAGTAATTTACCTGATTTACTCAGGTTTGGGGTTAGGTTTAGGTTCAGGGTTGGGTTTAGGATTACGTTTAGGTTCAAGGTTGGATTTAGGATTACGTTTAGGGTGAGGTTTGGGCTACGCTTCTGTTCAGGGATGATGTAGCGATATTACTATAAATATTGGCACACACAAAATCTTGCCGAATTATTGCCGTGCTGTTCTGTAAGCTGTAAAGTTCCCCTTCCAAACCTGACGGCCCATGGAGCAAGTGAAGTAGAGTTCACCTGTTTCTGTGACCTCGGCATATGAAGAGATAGTGTGGTCAACACTATGCTCACCCGCTTTACTTTCCCTAACGTGAGTCTGATAGGTAGGTCTACTACTAAGCGTAATACTAGCCCCCTCCCCCCTAAAGCCTTGACATAAACGTATTCCTACAACAACACTTTAAACTATAACACGCATTGAATTGATATTCCAGAAACCATCAATTGCCTTTACGCTATGTAACGAAAAAGTAAAAACAAATTAACTTACGAATTCATGATTTATGACGGTTACAACACAAAAAAACTACTTTCTCAACACATCCAAATGTTCTTATAGTTCTACAACACATCAAACGAACACACCCAAATATCGTCAGCCACGCTTTGAATGGTAGCACGCACCGGCCTACAAAACACGCCCACCACACTAAACAAATGTAAAACCCTGGTCTCGCTTATGGTACTACGTAGTCTTAGATTTCCACGCCCTTGTATTACATTTATTGATCCGTTTATATGTGCCGCCTTTCTCCCCTAGTGTTATCGGCACAAAAATGTTCAAACGTGTTTTAAGAAAAAGATATTAGTCGTATGGGGGTTACCCATGCAATGGCAGGGGGGGGGGGGTGTTATATAGAGCAGCGTGAAAGTTAAAAAGCTTAACTTTACACACAGGGGCGGACTTTATATTTTTGCCATCTCTCTTCACCTCCCACCCCACATTTCTACAAATATTGTGGGCCCCTAGTCTTTTAACATTTCTTTTTAACACTCGTTTCTACAACCTCTAGACACTTTCCACAGTTTACGCCTGTTTCCCCCGCGCCTACTCTTAAGTTTCTTTGGAGCTTGACGGTCCATGGGGCAAGAAGTAGAGTTCACTTGTTTCTGTGACCATTGTATATGAAGGGATAATGTGGTCAGCACTATGCCCAGCCTATTATTTTATTTCCCTAACGTGTCAGGTACCAATTAGAGCAGGATGAACTCAGGAACGTTCAACTGACTTGAAACAGGATTCGAACTCGAGACTGCGTCGTAATACTCCCTAAAAAAATCTTTTCAGGCTTCACCTTAGCATTTTCTGACGGAATCAGTTTTTCACTTATTTATTTCAGAAAGATGGCTAATTTAATCTCCACCCCCCCCCCCCCCCCAGCAATCCCTTTGTGAATAGGTATGTGACACAATTAATAGATGACCTACCCACTCTTCACTTAGCCAAAAATCTTTTTTTTATTTCTAGAGACGAGTCAACCGCCCAGTATTAGGCGTCAATGACCAAGTTCAACAAAATACTACTGTAGTCTGAGAGGTAGTTAAAATCCTGTGGTCAGGACATACGATTTTTGTCTATAAAATTATGAGTATTGAAAAAAAAAACGATAGTAAAAACAAGAATCAAATTTGTTTGTTAATGTTTTAATAAGAAACAATCCAATTGGAGCCATCATTGGATGGTCATCACAACAGCAAGCTTCAAGTCCTCTGAGAACACAAGTAACAAGTGAGTACCTTTTGTGTTGGTCAAGTAACAACTGAGTACCTTTTGTGTTGGTCAAGTAAAAATCTCTGGTTTAATCTCGAGTAAAAAAAAAAAAAAACAACTGGCACACAATTACATTTGTTGCTCCATCAACCAACAGTCATCACATGCAACATTTGAATGACTGGTTACCACATCCAACAAATGAATCAACAGTCATCACATGCAACATTTGAATGACTGGTTACCACATCCAACAAATGAATCAACAGTTATCACGTGCAACATTTGAATAACTGGTTACCAATCCAACATACGAATCAACAGTCAAAACATCCAACTGTTGAATGACTGGTTACCACATCCAACATATGAATCAACAGTCAAAACATCCAACTGTTGAATGTCCAGTGACACCATCCAACATATGAATCAACAGTCATCACATCCAACATATAAATCAACAGTCACCGCATGCAACATATGAATGGCCAGTGACACTATACATTTGTTGCTCCATACATCAACAGTCACCACATCCATAACATCCACCACATAACCACCCCACTCAACCTAAGACAACTAGACAACATCTACCCACCATGTACATCACATTCCAATCCCTGCTTCAAGACAGCTTAAACTCAAGTACACAACACCAGACATTCCTACACAACTTGTATACGGGTATCACAAATGTAAGGGTTATAAATGCAACTGATTACATTTGAGTCACTGTATGTACAATTTAATACTTGAGCTGATCTGTGTTTGGGGCTCACTAGCAATTCATGCTCACGCTTTCAAATTTTTCCCAACCTGAGTTATTTGTGAGTTAAAACCAAGATAGCTCTTGTACTATTTACAGATGGTAAATATTGGACCATAAAAAATTGTAGTGATCTGTCTACATTGTAAAGTTCACATTCTGCATATGTGACATATCTACTGCACAAATATTACTACTTACATAGTATAGCTATGTGTATATTACAGTACTGCTGCTTTCTAAATGTAGTACAGCTGCTGTCTCTATAAAGTAGGAACAGCTACTGCTTATATACAGTACAGCTACTGCTTATATACAGTACAGCTACTACCTATATGGTATAGTTACTGTGGAACAGCTACTGAGTATACAGCCAAACACATTTCCTCTGATATCAGTAAATTCAAAAAGGAGGTAAATTATGCAATAAATTTTCTGAATAGAACTTAAATAACTTCATTGTATGAGATCATTAAAAAAATAAACCAGGACAATGTGTAGTGCTTGAGATTCAGGTTCTGTAGCTTCTTGGGGGTGTTTACTTTTACTTGTTCGGATGGTCTGATCAAATTACACTGACATGCAGGCATGACACACAGGCTTAGTGGTGACACAGGCTTAGTGGTGACATAGGCCTAGTGGTGACACAAGCCTAGTGTTGACACAAAGCCTAGTGCTGACACAGGCCTAGTGCTGACACAGGCCTAGTGATGACACAGGGCTAGTGGTGACACAGGCCTAGTGCTGACACAGGCCTAGTGCTGACACAGGCCTAGTGATGACACAGGGCTAGTGGTGACACAGGCCTAGTGGTGACACAGGGCCTAGTGGTGACACAGGCCTAGTGCTGACACAGGCCTAGTGCTGACACAAAGCCTAGTGGTGACACAGGGCCTAGTGGTGACACAGGCCTAGTGCTGACACAGGCCTAGTGCTGACACAAAGCCTAGTGTTGACACATGGCCTAGTGTTGACACAGGCCTAGTGCTGACACAAAGCCTAGTGTTGACACATGGCCTAGTGTTGACACAGGCCTAGTGCTGACACAAAGCCTAGTGTTGACACAGGGCCTAGTGGTGACACAGGCCTAGTGATGACACAGGCCTAGTGGTGACACAGGGCCTAGTGCTGACACAAGGCCTAGTGGTGACACAGGCCTAGTGGTGACACAGGGCCTAGTGCTGACACAAGGCCTAGTGGTGACACAGGGCCTAGTGCTGTGTCCACTTGATGGACTTGAGGTCCACACCTTCTTGGACCATCTCCCACAAAGGACTGAAAACAAAATGGTTGTAATTTTAAATTTGGTTAAAGATGATAAAAGTAATATTTTGTTAAAGATTATAAAAGTAATATTTTGTTAAAGATTATAAAAGTAATATTTTGTTAAAGATGATAAAAGTAACATTTGGTTAAAGATGATAGTAACATTTGGTTAAAGATGATAGTAACATTTGGTTAAAGATGATAGTAACATTTGGTTAAAGATGATAGTAACATTTGGTTAAAGATTATAAAAGCACATGTTCAGTATTGAAAACTTTTTTCGTTCAATGAACTGTAAAGGGATAAACCACAATACAGCACCTGTCACCCTTATCCTACACATGGTTTACCCTTTAAACCACAATACAATCCCTATAACACATCAATGACAATTATAGGACCTTACCCTCATACAGCATACACTCCCACACATTGCCTCACACCACCCACACATTGCATCACACCACCCACACATTGCGTCACACCACCCACACATTGCGTCACACCACCCACACATTGCCCCACACCACCCACTGCCCCACAACACCCACACATTACCTCATACTCCCACACATTGCCCCACAACACCCACACATTACCTCATACTCCCACACATTGCCCCACACCACCCACACATTGCCTCACACTCCCACACATTGCCCCACACCACCCACACATTGCATCACACCACCCACACATTGCGTCACACCACCCACACATTGCGTCACACCACCCACACATTGCGTCACACCACCCACACATTGCCCCACACATTGCCCCACACCACCCACACATTGCCCCACACCACCCACACATTGCCCCACACCACCCACACATTGCCCCACACCACCCACACATTGCGTCACACCACCCACACATTGCGTCACACCACCCACACATTGCCCCACACCACCCACACATTGCATCACACCACCCACACATTGCCCCACACCACCCACACATTGCCCCACACCACCCACTGCCCCACAACACCCACACATTACCTCATACTCCCACACATTGCCCCACACCACCCACACATTGCCTCACACTCCCACACATTTCCCCACACCACCCACACATTGCCCCACACCACCCACACACTGCCCCACACCACCCACACATTGCTCTACACCACCCACACATTGCCTCACACCACCCACACATTGTCTCACACCACCCACACACTGCCCCACACCACCCACACATTGCTCTACACCACCCACACACTGCCCCACACCACCCACACATTGCTCTACACCACCCACACATTGCTCCACACCACCCACACTTTGCAACACACCACCCACACATTGCTCCACACCACCCACACTTTGCAACACACCACCCACACTTTGCAACACACCACCCTCACATTGCTCTACACCACCCACACATTGCTCCACACCACCCACACTTTGCAACACACCACCCACACTTTGCAACACACCACCCACACATTGCTCCACACCACCCACACTTTGCAACACACCACCCACACATTGCCCCACACATCACCCACACATTGCTCCAGACCACCCACACATTGCCCCACACCACCCACACATGGCCCCAGACCACCCACACATTGCCTCACACTCCCACACATTGCCCCACACCACCCACACATGGCCCCAGACCACCCACACATTGCCCCACACCACCCACACATTGCCCCACACCACCCACACATTGCCCCACACACCACCCACACATTGCCCCACACCACCCACACATTGCCCCACACCACCCACACATCGCCCACACCACCCACACATTGCCCCACACCACCCACACATTGCCCCACACCACCCACACATTGCCCCACACACCACCCACACATTGCTCCAGACCACCCACACATGGCCCCAGACCACCCACACATTGCCCCACACCACCCACACATTGCCCCACACCACCCACACATTGCCCCACACCACCCACACATTGCCCCACACCACCCACACATCGCCCACACCACCCACACATTGCCCCACACCACCCACACATTGCCCCACACCATCCACACATTGCCCCACACACTGCCCCACACCACCCACACATTGCCCCACACCACCCACACATTGCACCACACCACCCACACATTGCCCCACACACTGCCCCACACCACCCACACATCGCCCACACCACCCACACATTGCACCACACCACCCACACATTGCCCCACACACTGCCCCACACCACCCACACATTGCCCCACACCACCCACACATTGCCCCACACCACCCACACATTGCCCCACACCACCCACACATTGCCCCACACCATCCACACATTGCCCCACACACTGCCCCACACCACCCACACATTGCCCCACACCACCCACACATTGCCCCACACCACCCACACATCGCCCACACCACCCACACATTGCCCCACACCACCCACACATCGCCCACACCACCCACACATTGCCCCACACCACCCACACATTGCTCCACACCACCCACACATTGCCCCACACCACACACACATTGCCCCACACCACCCACACATTGCCCAACACCACCCACACATTGCCCCACACCACCCACACATTGCCCCACACCACCCATAGATTGCCCCACACCACCCACACATGGCCCCACACCACCCACACATTGCCTCACACCACCCACACATCACCCACACATTGCCTCACACCACCCACACATTGCCCCACACATCACCCACACATTGCCCCACACCACCCACACATTGCCTCACACCACCCACACATTGCCCCACACCACCCACACATTGCCCCACACCACCCACACATTGCCCCACACATCACCCACACATTGCCCCACACCACCCACACATTACCTCACACCATCCACACATTGCCACACACCACCCACACATTGCCCCACTCATCGCCCCATACCCACATCATCACTTACCTCATTTCCCTCAGCCTCTTCACATGTGAGATACAACGATCCACTGTAAAATCTATTTCCTCCTCTGTTGTGAACCTCCCAATGCCAAACCTAGAAAACAAGAACCAACTTAGTGATCCACATCAGGAATATCTTGTATTTACATATCGACCTCAACTCAGCAAAGATATATATAAAAGGACCATCAAGTGCACAATCGTATAGTCCTCAAAGAGCCAAAAAATTATTTACATGAGCCACACAACAGAAAACAGATGTAAAACAAAACAACTGACTATTTCGTCTAAAGATTTTTCTTACTTTAAAAAAAAAATGTATATTGTAACTGCATTACTTTTCTTTAAACAATCATATGGAATAGAAACAATATCTGAAGTTGATAGAGAAAGTTTTTTATTTGTTGCCTATCTTTTGTTAAATATAATTTTTTTACAGCAAACGTAGAAAATATTTTTCAAGTAAAAAACTGGTAGTAACTTCAAAACTACTGACACGGATTTGGTATAATGCTCAAACCAAGAACAGTTAACTCTGTAAAAATAAATTCAACATTTGATTATTTCCCCTACAAAATGGCAGCTTACCTGATGGATGAATGTGCCAAATCTTCATCTGCTCCTATGGCACGCAACACATAGGATGGCTCCAGTGAAGCTGATGTGCAGGCGCTTAAAAATTTAACATGGGATTAAAGACACATTCAAAGTAAAGTCACTAAATATGTAATGCACAATGGAGAACTTGTTAAAAATAGATGAAGAGTAAAAAAGCACTAAAATGTATTGTGATTTAAAAAAAAAACAGTCAAGTTATTAAAAAGTGAACTCAGAGTTGAAAGCACAAGCCCAACTTGTGGCAAAATCAGCAGTGAAACTTTAAAATTAGCCTAATTACTGCGAGCACAGTAAGCTAGGATAGACCTAGAAGACAATCTAAGGTCGCAGTGACCGAAACGTCTGCTGATGTCGGGTAGACAAAGGCCACGAAAAAGTGACGGCGTAACAATGTTAATTCTAGGTTTACACAGCAGTTGATATTGTACTGTCGACGCATGCGCAAAAGGCGGAAAGGGTCACTGGCTGGAGTCTGGACGATAAAAACAATTTCTAAAATGTCAAAATTTTCAAGCTTAAAACTATCTTAATTTTTTTTAAAACTGCAAACCCGGAAATTTTCAAACTCAAAACTTGCGAATCCAGAAAGGCAAAAAAATATGATTCTCGAATCCGGAAATCCGGGATATCTCGGAAAAGTGGCACCCCTGAATTAAGTTAATGAGCTGAAATCAAAAACCTGAGTTTTAAAAAAAAAGACCATCAAGAAAAGTAAATCTTATTTACCTTCCAGAAGAAAGAGCGATATCTTTGAGTGCCATCAACAGACTCTCCCCCTCCACATATGCAAATGAGAGGTTGACACAACCTGTTAAGAGGAATTTCATTTCTTTTTATGCATTTAAACAGAAATACTTTTTCTACACAAATGTATTGCAGAAATAATAATTTTTTTACACAAATGAATTACAGCAATACTTTTATTTAACACATATTTTTGAAAGGTCATCAGGTGCTACCAGTGTTTAAAACAGAAGGGTGCTGGAACTACCTCCCTGACAGTTTTAGAGAGGTCACCCAACTCTACCAGTGGTTAAAATAACTCCTGCATCAACTACAACTTAAAGTGTAGATCAAATTAGCACTATAGTGTGGTGGAAGCTAAACAGGTTCAATAAAAAAAAAATTTTTTAACCTGGGTAGGTCTGTTGGTTGTCTCCATTTCTCACAACCTTTGGACACGCTTCCATGATTTTGTCCACCAGCCTTTTGGACAACTGGTCGATTCTCTTGGAATCATACTAGTGAAATTAAAAATAGATAAGATTAGAAGAAATTAAAGTTATTAGATAATTAGAATAAGCATTAAACAAAATAAAGCAAAAAATTGAGGCTGTGTAATAAAGTCAAGCGGTAGAGAGCTGGACTGCTAACCCGTAAGTCTCGAGTTCGAATCCGGGTTAAAGTCAGTAGACTGTCCACCCAACTCTGATGGGTACCTAACTCACGTTAGGGAAAGTAAAGGGGGCTGGGCATAATGCTGACCACTCTATCACTTCATATGCCAAGGTCACAGAAACAAGTGAACTCTACTTCACTTGCTCTATAGACCGTCAGGTTTGAAAGGGAACTTTACTTACTATTTACTGTAATAAAGCAGGAAAAAATTAATTGTTTAAAAAAAGAACAGCAGTTGTCCCTAGGCTAATGAGTAAATTGGTTCTATAGACTCAATGTCAAATAACTGGACATAAAGTTAGTCAACAGAATCACTAGGACATAGAATTGGTCTAAATTTTCTTAAAGTTAGTACTAAAACTCTTACAGACAAAAATATCAGACATAAAGTTGGTCCAGAGAATAACTGACTAAATGTTGGACTATATGCTGACAAAGACGTGGAAAATAAGTTTGCTCTTAGACTCCCATAGACACAAATTAGGATAATTGACTCACAGCCAATTCCTCCTGTGCCAGCTCACAAGCTGCGCCTATCCCGACCACCAAGGGTGTTGGCACTGTACCACTGCGCATGCCTCGCTCCTGCCCGCCACCACTCTGTAGCGCCTCTATTCTTACTCTGGGCCTCCTCCTGACAAACAGGGCCCCCACACCTGCTCAGGAGAGATTCAGTGAGAAATGGTCACCCAAGACAAATGGTATACAAATGGTATACAAATTGACTATATGGGAGGTTAATAACTTGATCAAAATACAACATCAACAACGAAGGTTCAGGATTTTAAAATGTGACGAGAAAACTAACTCGATTATAAACTTTTTGAAAATTAAAAACTTGGTATTTTTTATATTGACTGTTGCAACAACTGTTCTATCCTTAAATGTGTAGTGGAGTTTTTCTTCTAATATAAGAATTAAAATAAAAAAATTTAATTAGAAAGAAGTAAAAGCAAATAAGCAGCTGACCTTTTGGTCCATAGACCTTGTGACCACTGATGGACATCAAGTCAATGTTCATCTGGTTGACACTCATTGGGATCTTGCCAACTGCCTGGGCAGCGTCAGTGTGGAAGAAAACTTTCTTAGCTCGGCAAAGTGCACCTATACATTTTTTAAAAACCACAGTGTGGAATAAAATTTTTGGCTTGGCAAAATGCATGTATACTATTTGTAAAATTACAGCGAGGAAATAAAAAATAAACTATTTTCGGACTGGCAAAGTGCATCTATAGTTTAACCTATAAGGTGAGTATTATGGAGTTAGCTATAAATAAAAACCTACGTAGGCCCTATACTTTAAAATGTGAAGTAATATCTAAAGTAAAATATGAACATGTGCTATGCTGACTTTATTCATTCATTAAATTTTTTTTTTCTATAATAATAATTTTTAATGTGTTTTTAACATGTGTCATTGCTATTTCTTGAAACTAAAAACATAACTCTAAAAACACATATAAATGCTTAAATCTAAATTGTTTTCTCAAATTTCAAGTAATTTTTTTAGTTTTTAATAATAAATCCTGTAGTCAGTTTTACCAGAGAAGTTTCAGTGGTAGTCAGCAGTAGCAAACCTTTTTTCATTGTTTCAACAGGTTAGTAAAACAAAATAGTGGCTTAGACACAGTCTAGTGATATCACCATTACTAAATGGGAAAGCTCAGTTCTTTACTTTTGAAAGTAATAATTTATTTCACAATTATTCTGGAAATAAAAAACTATACCAACATAAAAAGAGTAATTAATATTAAAGCAGGTTAAGACTTACCTATTTCAGCTATGGGCTGTTTTACACCTATTTCATTGTTTACTGCCATAACTGACACCAAAACAGTCTCTGGGCGAATGTTTTTCTCTAGCTCCTGAATTACATTTTAAACAATTATTATTTTAGGTTAACCAAAATAAAAAGTACTTAGGTTTTATGTTTCATGTACATTACTTTAATTGCAAATTGAAATCTAAAGATTTTGTACACTAAAAGTGTGAACAGAAACTGGTGGGGCTCATACCTCTACATCAACTATGCCATTAGTTTTAACACCCATGTATGTCACCTCAAATCCTTCAGCTTCCAAAGCCCGGCAAGAATCAAGGACACATTTATGTTCCTAAATGGTCAACAGAGTTTTATTAAATAGGGTTGCGATAAACGGGAGAAAAAAATATAAAATAAAATCAATAATTAAATTAATTTTGGTAAGCATCTGAGGTATAATAAAGAAAAAAGAAGTAAATAAAAACTGACATCTTTACTTAACAGAAATATAATGTACATTATTTTTTTTAGATCTAGCACCATTCAAAATGTATTAAATAATTAGTGTTAAGTAAACTTTAAAATTTTAAAATCAACTGTCAGTTGATATAAGCAAGTAAAAGAATATAACACCTGCAACCCTTATATGATCTGGCAGTATTAGAAAGAATATAACAGTGCTGCAACCCTTATATCAAATGGCAGTATAAGCAAGTTAAAAAATGTAACAGATGGCGCTGCAACACTTACAGTTTGTGTGGTGATGATGTGGTTTTTCTTGCTCTTGTAGAACCTTGCCACACCCTTGACAGCAATATTGTTGGACTCAGTGGCCCCACTTGTGAAGATGATTTCCTTGGGGTCTGCACCTATCAAGTTGGCCACTTGCTGGAAATTTAAACAATATAAACTAGGTTTAGGCCATGGCACATTATTGCTTTGGTTTGTATTTAAAATTCTGATTTCCAGTTAAATAAATTTGAAAATTTACCTTTAATGAAAAAAAATACATTTTATAGCCATGATGAAAAAATGCTTGCTTTACAAGATTTTTACTCAAATAAAAATGATAATTTTATAGATAACATTACTTGAACATTTTTAAGAGAACCATAACATGAGCACGGTGAATATTTACACTAGTCACTCAAGTTAACAACAATTAATTATTTCTACTGAGAACAGCGATTAACCTTTCTGGCTTTCTCCACGGCTGCCTCACTCTCCCAACCATAGGCATGAGTACGTGAATGGGGATTACCATATCTGCTCAACATAAAGGGCAGCATTTTGTCAAGAACTCTTGGATCCTAGGAGTGAAAAGAAAATCAATAATAATGATCTGTTTTCCATTAAATGAGGTGAAGATCGTTGATATGAAAGCCAATAAGCAATATTTGTTCTCTGTCTGTTAGCTTTTCTTTAATCACAATGCTATAAACACTTCAATGGAAATTTTGAAGAAAAAAAAAGCAAAGTGAGCAAGAATGCATTGTTGTGTAATACTGATCAGCAAATAATAATTTATATGTGTCCCATCAGTAAATGGAACAGTTTTTAGCTTACCAGTGGGGTTGTGGCTTGTGCATCTAAATATAAAGGTCTCATGTCACTTGCTGGCATCTGCCTTGTAACCTGAGTTGTCGCAACATCTATTGTTGAAGTAAAATATTTAAAAAGTGTAGGTATAATAAGCTTACAAAATCTAAAAGTTTAACAGCATACAGACAATACAACATTGTCTAAAGTCTCTAAAGTAGAGACCTAAAGTCTATAAAGTAGAGGCCTAATTAATATTATTTATGCCTATAATATGCCTCAGTTTCAGCCTGTAGGCCTATTTGATTTGTATTTATAATAATAATAAACGAGTGGCTGTATTTTTACGTAGGTCAGAGCACTCTTGCTAATCCGCTCAAGAGGTTGAGTGTGATCTAAAAGTAGATATCAGGACTGACAATTATTTAAACGCCAAAGGTAGGCACAGGTAAAAAATGAATAGAAATTATATAGTCCTTGTAAGACAGTACAATGGTATACTATTAGGTCAGATGATAGATTAACTGTTTAAAGGTACATTTATCATTTAGTATGTTTAATGTGTTTGATTTATAACTTTTCTTCTCGAGCATCTTGTGAAAAAACAAACAATCAAAAGCATGAAACAAAAAATTATCTTGCAACTTGTGTCTCGCTATTTATGATTATCCTTGATTCTGCAGGTGTGTCTTGCATTTTCTTCTTGCAATTTATTGCCTCAGCATTTTGCGTCTCACAATTTACCAACAAGGATGATTGAAGATACTGATTTCCAAAAATAGAATCTTTAAAAAGGGTTGTTAGGTTACTGGTAGTTAACTAAAATACAGTACACTGAGTACACTCATGGCTTGCTAACTAATGTCAATGCAACTGACTGAGTCATTACTTCTTAGACACTGATGTCAAAAAAATCCCCCCACCCCCAAGTGAAAACAACTATTTACTATTACACCTAGATCAAGACAATCTAGTATTATAATATATTAATTTAGAGTTAGATTATTAAAACTAGATCTAGATTATACTATTACTAACCATCAGTTTGTTCTTTCTGTGACGCTTGATTTTGGCTTTCATTAGCTGTCGTGTGTATCGATGAAGTTAAAACTCGACTCCCGTCTTTAACTAACTGTCTGGACAGCCTCGAAACATGTGAAAGCATTCTTGTAGGCTACTTGCAAATCACACAATGTTCTTAAGTAGGAGAGATGACAATCGAAAGGTATTCAATTAGATCTAGATCTAGAATCTATATTTAAGTGTGCTCGAGGTCTTACTTAACGCAGATTATGTAACTTCGCTTGTTTGCGAACTTCGCATTTATTTACAGCTAAACTAAACACCAAAACATATCGTAAAAAAACGTGACGTGTTTAGATGGTAACCATGTCTTGAAATGTATGCTTTATATAGGCCCTAACTAGAAAAACAACATATATAGGGTCTATATATCAAGATACTATTAATTAATATAAATGTAAGTTTCAGATATGTATGTAATTTGTATTATTTTGTGAATGTTATTACAAAATGCAAAATTATTTAGAATATTCTAGTTCTGAAAGTTCTGTGTTGTTTTCTTTAACTTAGATTTGAATTTAACCATAAACGAATGTTATTCAACTTAGTTTTTACTTATAGAGTGCGTTTTCAAGGCTTGCTTTGAATATATATATATATATATATATATATATATATATATATATATATATATATATATATATATATATATATATATATATATATATATATATATATATATGAAATTATTGAAACGGGCTATATTGTATTTAAAACGACACGTTTTTTAAACCGACTTTTACCTCCTCCCTCCATATCGTCATACATTGTCACAAAAAGCTAGACTGCTCCCTAGAATGACGCCAAACCTCTATTCTATCACCATCTCAAAATTGCTGTTTAATTTGCAGTTTGATGTTTTTGTTTTTCTTTAAACGCTTTTTTTTTATTTAACAAATTTCACACTGACCCCCTTCCTACTTGCTTGTGTCATATCCTTACAAACGTACGACTTCTTCCTATCGTAGTCTGACGTGATCTATGGACGACCCCTCAAATGATGTTACAAAATCAAATAAGCCCCCCCCCTCCCTCGAAACTTACAAAGCCTAGGCCCCTAGACGACCAGTGTATCTTCCAGACTATTTTCTCCGGGGGGGGGGGGGGGCACTTGAAATTTTCGGGGGGGGGGGGGCGGTAGACTTTCTTCTGGGGGGGGGGGGCGGACACTGTTAAAAATATATATTTTCTATATAAATTATATAAATTTCATTTCGTTCGGGGGGGGCGGTAAAATTTTCTCGGGGGGGCTTAGCCCCCCTCCCCCCGAAGAGATGCCTGGAAGAAACTCTGCCCTAGACGTTTTTGCATTTTTGGATCTAGAATATAGATTCAGGCCCTAGGCCAAAAGCTTTTGATTGATCCAGTCAGTAAAAAGTAAACGAGCCAAAAATAAATTTTTCGCAAGATGGCAGCCACCATGAAAGACGTTAGTAACACATTTTTATGTTTTTTATTCATTTAAGTTGTGAAAAACGTCATTTTACTTTAAAGAATTTCACTATATAGATCTAGATCTAGTACTCCGATACTTCTACTCTAAAAATTCAATGTAAAGTTGTTTGTGTGTTGTCAGGTGTTTTTTTTTTCATCTGTAATCCACAACTTCTCAGTTGTTCTGTTCGACTCGCTTGACTTCTCCACATTAAAGTAAAACTACAGTCGTTTTTGTACAGATTGCACAATTACACAAAATCTTTAATAATATTATTAGTACAACAGTTTAATTTAGGCAACTTGCTTAGTCTTTGATAATGTATTTATGGAATTTTAAAGTTTGTTTGAAGTCATTTATTAAAAGTAAAAGACATGACATGTTCATGATGTTGTTCAGGTTGCTAAGGCTAGAGTAGAGTGTAGTCATTGACTCATTATTGACCAGGGAATAAATTATGATGGAATGGATGGGGCACTTCATTTTTACATTTTTATTGTAGGGTGACGCCTATGATTTTAAACTTATTATTTATTATTATTCAAGATGACTTAAACTAACAATTAAAAACTACATTTAGTTGTATTTAGTTACCTTTTAATTTGTTACTAATTTCAATTATCAAATTTAATCGATATCTTTGAAAATGATTTGTGAAAAACTGCATTTGTTTTTAAATGGCTACAATGATATGACTGATACTCAGTGATATGTTGGTTTAGTTTTTAAGGAGCGTTGTTGTGACGCTATTGACCGTTCATCGCTGTTCATCAGAAATGTGTCGTCTGCTAAATTTCTTCCCATCCAAACACAATGGGCAAAAGTTTTTTTTGAAAGTTTTGTTTTTATCCTGCATGTTTTTTTTTTTAAATTAATGAAATTATTATAGTAGGGGGCAATATGTAATTTTCTATAGCTTACAGTATTTTTAAGCAAGTCTGCAACAATATTAAATAAAGCAATTCACGTTATGTTCCGCTCATTATTCTCAGCGATTAAACCAAAAAAGAAAGTACAAATGGCAAGCTTGCATCAAACACTTATTGTCCATTGTTAAAATTAGATCGGTATCATTGAATAATATAAAAAAATAACGATTATTAGTATATATTTCTGAAATGACAATCAAACATTGTTAAAAAACAGAATCACGATATTGTCATTTTCTGCAGCCATCATTACCACGATGATGATAAAAGAAAGTAGGTCGAGCGATAGGCTATTTATTGCCTGGGCCATTCCACCCATTCATTTTCTTTTAATTATAAATTTCATAGACTTATTAATAGTGTAGACCCAATAGTAGGGCAGTCTAGAGCTAGGCTAACATTATTAATACAATAATAGCTCATACTACAAAACAGTGTAAATAGGTTAAGTTAGATTAGCCAGTTGCACCTCCTGGGACAAAGGCTGCTGACTTGGTCCTCCAGGTTGGGGGTTCATAAGGTCAGCAACCTTAAATAGTGTGAGTAGGTCTGTTTGTTTATGTCTTAAAATGTACAAATCTCCTAATTGTTTATTTCACAGAGTGATGCTCAGGTTACATATGAAGACCAGCAAAAGATCAACAGGTTTGCACGAACCAATGCCCGTCTTATGGATTTTAAAGAAGAGTTAGCAGCCAAAGAGGTCAGCTACACTTTCTAAACATTACACTCAACATTAATATAATTAAAAAATCAAACAAATCAAATTATACACAGAGCTATCATTATAGATCAAAATGCTATGCTGTCTTTCACTCAAGATGGCTGGTCATGATATAAAAAATTTTAAACTCATTTTACATTATTGAAAATCTTTAAAAAAATTTAAAAATGAAATAACTCAATTTAGCAGTTTTAATTTTTAGTTGAAAAATAACATGAATGATGGTAATTAAGAAGTAAACTTAAGAAACACAGTTTCAATACACATTGAGTTAAAATTAAGTCAATGACATTTTCTGAGTCTGTGCGCTTATCCTTAACCTCATAGCATTCTCTCTCTGGTTGATCTGTGGCTTGCTTTCAAGGCTGTCTTTTTACACAACACTCAAAATATAAATACAGCATTATGAAATACACATACTCATACATATTTTATGCTCTACTCTACTACACACATACTCACAAATATTTTATGCTCTACTCTACTACACACATACTCACAAATATTTTATGCTCTACTCTACTACTATAGATCATCTAATAGCAGACTTTTAAAACATCAGAATTTATGATACTCTGATAATAATTACAGATCAAATGTATACATTTAAATACAAATCACTTGTATGGGATTAAAAAAGAATTAATAATTTATCTTATTTTCAACAAAATCAACAAACCATCCTAAAATGTATATATATATATTTTAATTTTATTTCAGAAAGAGCTAGAGAATTTAAAAGATGCTGAGGAAGAGTTAATGCTGGCTGAGGGGGATGCTGAGGTTATTCCATATCCTTTTCAAATGACAAGAATTATAATAATATTTTTTATTAAGGGGGTAGGCGGCGGTTAAAAAAAAACTTTTAATACTAGAGAGCAGACATTTTTTTCTCTACAGCTTTTTTAAGGTACATCCGAATATGCATTTCCACTAAAAAAAAAATGGTATAAATGTTTTGGTAACTATGACAACGGCGGCCATATTGAAAAATTAACCTCTTCATAGGATTTCAACCATTCATAAAATATTACATTTTAATTCCAATAAACAATGAATTTATAATCTTCTGCCATAGTTTGGGGTACTCGGCTAAAAATTTTAAGTGCAGATCTTAAAACTAATTTCTTATGAATTTTCAAATAGTGGGTCCGTCAAAAACACTAGATTTAATGCCCCAAAACTCCCAAAAAAATTTTGTTTTTACTGGATCCTATGGTTGTCATAGTTACCAAGCAACATTTATCAATTATTTTTAAATGCATATTCAGATGCACCTTAATGAAGCTGTAGAGAAAAAATTGTTTGCTCTCTAGTATTAAAAAAGTTTTTTTACCGGAGCCTACCCCCTTAAAATTGCATGTGTTTTTAAAAATAAAATTCGACACATAAATACCCAATGAACTGAAAGCGCAGGATTAAGCAGATTAAAAGAATAAACATCAAAACTGGTAACTGTAGTATCACTTACATTTGTCTATGACTATTAATTGTTTTTGTTAGCACAAGTTCTTAATAAATATTTTTAGAAGATTCAATCATTGTCTTGTAAAGTTTTCCGATAGGCCAACTAAGCATATTTAATTTTTTCATTTAAAACAGCATGTGTGAATTGTAATAGTTTTACCCAATTAACACTTACAAGCATGTGTAAATGCTTACATTCCAGTTTATGCTGATTTTTTTATGTTATCATTTGTTTTTTTAAGAAAATTGAATTTTTACTCCTGCAGACTTTTTTCCTTAACTCCTTCTGTACATATCAGATTGGGGAAGTTTTGGTAGAAATGAATGTTGAAGATGCTCAGTCTGCCCTAGAAAAAGCCAAGGAACTGTGCTTAGAAGAGATTGCGGCTCTGAAACAGAAGGCTGAAAACCACAAGGAAACACTGAATGACCTAAAGACAGCACTTTATGCTAAATTTGGCACAAACATCAACCTAGACTTAGATGATGAGAGTTAAATTAGTATTACAAATATTTAATTTATTATAATTTTGTCATCATTTTGTAAACAAACTTTTATAAAATTATCATTAAAACTGAACGTGTGCATAATTGTGTTCTGTGGACGTTTTTAAAAATAGCTTTTAAGCCTACATATTTTATCATTACCGATTTAAATTGTAATTATTATTACAAAAAAGCATCATAGTTATGTGCTAGATTAAGTAATTGATTTTACTAATAAAATGCCATAAGCTACTTTTCTCTTAAATAGTTAGGTACCTACAATAAATAATGCCACTTTCATGTTTAATATTTAGTTATAAAATAGTGAATTTATTCATGATTTGAAATTTTATTTACTTGACTTGTTAACAGGGCATGCATTTTGTTAGTCACAAAAAAGCATGTAGGTTTAATTTTTGTTGTATGAACCTCCAAAAGTTCAATTTTCTGTTAGCCAATATAAATATTTATTTCTGCCAATCCTTTCATTATGGCAGTATCGGTATATTTCACACACTCACTTCAGCTATTGAGAAGGAATGTTGCTTTTGAGTAAAATGCTATCTACAAATTATTTTTAAAATCCTCATTCTAATTTAAATTTAATTAATATTTGCTAAAAAATTATTGTTAGTTACTTTTGATCAATAAAACAAGATTTCTTGTGATTGACTGACATGGTCTTTCATTATGGTCCTATTTCATTTTAAAATACTTGGAATTTCAAGTTTACCTAAACATTAGTTTTGAATTTGAGAACTGTTTTTTATTCTCCTGAGCATTGCCCCCTCAAGGTTGTGCTGTAGTTGTGAATGTGCCATTCATCATTTGCACACAAATTATGTTTTTTGCTTTCTTTTGCCCTTGAAAAGGAATGTTTCTCTTAATAATATAATATTTACAAGTAAATATCTGAATACATTTGAATACAATAATAAAAATTTTTAAAAATTTAGTGCTTGAAAACACCTTAATCCAGCTTTGAAATCTAAGATTTTAAATATTTAGTTTTATATTTTAAAAGTAAATGTTGATTATATATAAATGGAGGTAGTTTTTTTTTTGCAAGGTCAACAGCCCTACCTGCGAATCAGCAGTTCCCCTTCAGTAAGGGGATATAACCGGGCTAGGTTGGTTTTGCAAAAATGTTAATTTAGTTGTTTCCCTTCACTTAGAAAATAAAAATTAAATTAGCTGAATTTTGGCTTATAACTAATAAGGGGGTGGAGGGCGAAAAAATCAACTTTTGGGGGAAATCGGTTCGGCTCTATGTTGACGCCCACACGGTAGATATAATGATTTGTCAGTTACTGGAAACACGAAAGCATACAAATGTAGGGCCTGTACATTTAAATGCAGTGTTCATCTTAAATAGACCTTTAACAGAGGGTAATTAAAGCATGTAATCTATATTACAATATTCTTCTATCTACTCTAAGCCATTGCTGAATGAAGTTTACATAAAGTCAATGAACCGAATTCTGACCACAAGAGATAATGATACTTTTTAACACATTTCTTTCAATATAAAAAATATTACATACTCTGGATAGATAACAACAAACCAGATACAAGTACAAGGTCTCTAAAGCCGATCTTGAAAGTAGGCCAACGTTTAAAAAAAGTTAAGCACCTTTACGAACCTAACAATCGATGGGTAGGTGAAGTAGAATTCATCTTATCTAAGTGACCATTGACACGTGAGGGAATAGTGTGGTCAGCACTATGCCAAGCCGCCTTTACTTTCTCTAACGTGAATCAGGTACCCATCAGAGCTTGATGGACTAAGGGGCATTCTACCGACTCAAGCCCGTGACCCGAACTCGAGACTCTCGGATGAGTAGCAGCCAAAAGCTCTACCATTCGACCAAGCCGTTTTTTTTTAATCTGCATTTGTCAGGAAGTACATTCACCAGAAAAAAATAATCATTGCATCTGGGATGTATGGTGACAAACGCCAGTGGTGAGCCAAATACAGTTAGAGGAAAAGGGCACACCTTCATTTTATAGCAGCACTATTTGCTGACGCTGGAGTGGTAGTCATGGGGTGAGAGGGGATTGTTCGAAAATTAGATGGGGAAGGGGCGCTGGATTTTCATGGAGTTGTTTTAAAAAAAAACAGCGCCGTAAACATCTTATCAATGTTAACAAAGAGAGTTATTTTAACACCTATGTCATAGAAAAGATGGAGACAACTTAGCCAGACAGGATCCCGACTTCACATGGCACCGAACCACCTCTGCCGGGCTTCATGTGATAGTGTAAACACCATAACCAGGATCGGCGTCCGGGTTAGCTGCCCCACCCCTTCTTGGGGAGCATGGAGTAGTTTACTAGTTTTGGGAAGGGGGTCTAAAAAACTAAAATAGATTTTTTTTTTTGTATGTGGGCGCTATAAAATGGATTATCTATGTAGGCCACTAACACAGCATATTATAGCCATAGGCATATCTTGTTTATTTTGTTTTCTTCTTTCATTTTTAATCAATTTCTTATTAAACTCATATCCAAAATTCACATGTCATTCATAATTTGCCTAGTCATTTTAGTTATTTTAAGGAATGTCTAGACCAAGTAGACTGATGCAGTGGAGTCGCTGGGTCGGGTGTCACCCGGTGCGGCACCTCGTGGTGCTATTTAAAATTTGCAGTTGGGGGCACCCTCTCCCGCACCACCCCATAAGCTTTAAAGTGTTCACGTTTATAACTAATGATGTTTATCTATGGTCGGTTGTTAATACAGCTGGGTGTAGCATTGTTTTCTCTATAGTTTGCATGTTTACGTCATGGTGTCACCCCCCTCTCCACACACACACCTTCCTTGTCGGAATCGTCATTATTTGTGCTTAAAATGCTTGTTAGCTATAATTAACCATTCATTGAACTGGCCTTAACATATTTATTCTTTTTATCTTGCAATTTTCTTTCTTGGTATCACCCTCCCCCCACACACACACACTGAATGGTGTGCGGTCCGCCCCCGCATCCAGTGTTTCTCACAGACTTTTTTCTCCGTGGGGGGGGGGAGCACTTGAAATTTTCGGGGGGGGGGCGGACACTGTTAAAAGTATATACTTTCTATATAAATTTCATTTCGTTCGAAGAGATGCCTGGAACAGAGGCGTAGCGACCCTTCCCGGCGCCCGGGGACAAACTTTCAATTTGGCGCCCTTCTCGGTAGCAAATTTTCAATTTGCACCCCCCTCAAACTATTTATAATGCAAAATAGTAGCTAAAATGACATTTTAATTTGTTTTTTATAACCCATTTTGGCGCCCGGGGACATATGTACCCCCCTTCTCCCCCCCCCCCCCCCCCCACCCTCCCCCATCGCTACGCCTCTGGCTTGGAAGAAACTCTGCCCGCATTGCGAAGCCTCTGGACCGATGTATCAACAGAAAGAGTAATCCACATGTTTCGTACGATGCTTGAGAATGAAACGAATTTGGTAATGGTAATCTAAGAATCGGTTAAATTAACTGAAGTAGCTTATAAATTGAATAGTGAGGCAGTTTTCGCATCCTTCTCGCATTTTATCGCTTTGAGATTTCGCAATCCGCGTCATGCATTTTACCAACACCGTAGATAAGTATAAAGTAGGACCTGGCATAACCAACACACAGTCAGACATTGGTTGTGACCGACGCTGATTCGACAATCTTTTTAGCCCAGCCAATCACATTTCCCAAGTTATCACAGACCTTGTTTACAATATATTTTAGCTGAATCATGGTGAATTTTTTTTTTACGTTGATAGGCCATAGTGAGTTGGGTTGACCTACTGATTATTTGTGATATAAGAGACGAGCTCGGCTGACTTCCGATTCATTTTTAGTGCAGTTGCTCTAGATTCTAGGTATTTTGCTCCCAAAGTCACAACTAAGAACAAAATGTCTCAAAAGTCGTATTCAACAGGTATGATACAAACAATTTGATCTAGATCTACATTTAATCATTTATTCAAAGTTTGTCTTGTAGCAGCAAACTTACTGGAACACTAGAGTCTAGAACTAGATATAGGCCTACTATATAATTATAGATCTATATATTATTATATTGGTAATCTATCGTTTTGGGTACGTAAAATCGCCCGCGATTTGTAATGTGAAAAACAGGTGACTCCTTAAATTTTAATAATTATTTCACATTTTGAGGAGGATTTATGTTTTAAAAAATTCAAAAATGTTTCCTTGATTCATTTATATACCTGTTTTTAAACAATTGAATTAAAACTTTTCCGTAATAAATGAAGACTAGCGATGTTTCCAACAGATGCAACCATGCTCATTTACTATAGCAGCCATCTTGTCTAAGTTTTATATTTATAAGCTTTTAGCGCCAGATTCAGGGGGAAGCCACTCTATTTTACAAATGGCTGCTGTTTATATAGCAAATCTTGCTCTCAGACACTGCTGTTTAAAGTTAATTTCTGGCCTATATCGATATATTTAGCCATTGATTTAGGTTTATTATTCATTTATCTATAATATTTGACACAAACATATGACAATATACTTCTATTAAAGCCTTGACAATGAGGTAACGTTTTCGTACATAAATAGCCGCGGGCGATTTTACGTACCCAAAACGATAGATTACCTATATATTATATTAATTATTATTATATACCCTATATATATATATATATATAAATATATATATAATATATATATATATAATATATATATATATATATATATATATATGGTAATCTATCGTTTTGGGTACGTAAAATCGCCCGCGATTTGTAATGTGAAAAACAGGTGACTCCTTAAATTTTAATAATTATTTCACATTTTGAGGAGGATTTATGTTTTAAAAAATTCTAAAATGTTTCCTTGATTCATTTATGTACCTGTTTTTAAACAATTGAATTAAAACTTTTCCGTAATAAATGAAGACTAGCGCTGTTTCCAACAGATGCAACCATGCTCATTTACTATAGCAGATAGCAGCCATCTTGTCTAAGTTTTATATTTATAAGCTTTTAGCGCCAGATTCAGGGGGAAGCCACTCTATTTTACAAATGGCTGCTGTTTATATCGCAAATCTTGCTCTCAGACACTGCTGTTTAAAGTTAATTTCTGGCCTATATCGATATATTTAGCCATTGATTTAGGTTTATTATTCATTTATCTATAATATTTGACACAAACGTATGACAATAAACCTCTATTAAAGCCTTGACAATGAGGTAACGTTTTCGTACATAAATAGCCGTGGGCGATTTTACGTACCCAAAACGATAGATTACCATATATATATATATATATATATATATATATATATATATATATATATATATATATATATATATATATATATATATATAATGATCTATTCTAGAGTATAGTATATGATAGATAAGTTAGTTAGGGCCTAAGCCCTAAGATTATGTAAGATAGACTATACTATTACTATAGACCAGGGGTCTCCAAACTTTTCAGTCCGAGGGCCGCATTAACTATCAAATTTCAGTTCGGGGGCCAGTTTCTTCCAGGCATGTCTTTGATTTTTCTGCGCAAAGTTCCTCATCATCACCAACAAACGATTTTTCCTTGGACAAAAAGATATCCGCGGGCCGGATGAGAGGACTTCGCGGGCCGCATTCGGCCCGCGGGCCGTAGTTTGGAGACCCCTGCTATAGACTATAGATAGATCTACTATGACCTATGTCATATGATAGTTGATAGTATAAATAATAAATTTAATTATAAAAATACTAGAATCTAATACTTTTACTAGTTTTACTACTTAAACTTTTAGTCTAGATTTAGTCTAGTCTAAAGTAAGACACTAAAAAAAATATCTTATAACTAGATCTAGATCTAGAATATGCCTAGTTATTTAGTTATATTATACTAGCTGCATACCCGTGCTCCGCCACGGTAAATCTATTTTAAATGCACCAACTTAGGAACAGAACAAAACACAATGCAAATGCAAACACAACACACAAACACAAAAGAAAAAACAAATGCAAAAAAAAAACCACAAATGAAAACACTAACACAAATGCCAAAAAAAAAAAAACACAACCGAAAACACAAACACAACACTCATAACATAAACACAACTTAAATGCAAATATAAACGCATAGTGCTCACAGTGTAGCCCGTGGCGCCAAATCGCACCCTGACCAAGCACTGGCAGACATGCCTGATTCAATTTAGTAAACGAATATAAAACCGAAAGATAGAAACAATAATTAGTAAACAGTTTGTTCAATGTATAAAATAAATAAAAGATTATCAATCCATGCTAATTATGATATTCTAACAATAATGTCCTCTTACACATCCGCATAATTTGCATTCACATTTTGCTAATTATATTGTTGCAACATTAATTCCTTCTTGGAATGCAAGTAAAAATAAAAAGCATGACATTGGACATGTGATGTTTACTTTTAACTTTTATGGTTCCAAAATCTATTGGGATGGTGGACTGCAACACTACTAGCCCGCTTATATTATAGATATATTTATAGGCCTATGGAAGAATTTCTTGATTCATTTACCTGATTTTTTTAAAACCATCATCTCTTATTAGATCTAATAAGCTACTAGATTCTAGGCTAATTGAAAATTAAAATGATTTTCTTAAAAAACCTGCAGAGGTTTGAATTTTTCCTTTAAAAGAATTATTAAAAAATCAATATTTAGGCCCTACCTATTCATTCATTTCTTATAGTTTTAGATAGGCCTAGAATAGATCTATAAGTATTAAAGTTTATAAAGCTATCTTTAAAAAAAAGGAAAAAAAAATTACACTTGAAATAATATGTAAGCTTAAAAAGAGTTATTAAAACCACTTTAAACTTTCAAAAGGCTCCACATTCCCACCAACGAAGCCAGGGGTTCTCCGCCTGTACAGCATGAGGTTCTGTCCTTATGCCCAGAGAACACGAATGGTGCTGGCACATAAAAATATTCCGTGAGTTTTTCATATTTTTATTTTGTGCTTGTTTAAGAGATTCCATTTAATTTTCCCAATGCAAAATTATTTTCACCATACCTTCCGCTGCCCTCCTCAAATCATAAATTATATTCTGATCCCATGAAGCTTAATGACAAATTTTTATCAAAGGTTTAGGCCAACTAATATTTGCAAATTAATGTAGAATAAATAATTCAGTAGTTTATAGTAACCAGATTATAGGCATTTATATAAAGTTGACATTGGGGTGGGAAAATTTAGATTGTAATAGAGAACAGAAAAAACACTTGGCTACTGGGATCAAGCCGATAAATTTGGACCTACTAATTTTCATTCCCTACATTATAATTTTAAGCGAATCAAGTCATTATCATCTGTTCTCATTCATGCTCAAGGCACATGGGGCAGATGCAGTAGATTTCATCTGTTTCAATGGATGCAGTAGAGTTCATCTGTTTCAATGGATGCAGTAGAGTTCATCTGTTTCAATGGCATCTGCATACAAGGGGATAGTGTGCTCAGCACTAAGTCCAGCCGTCTTAGTTTCCCATACATTACTTAGGCACCCATCAGAGCCTGGAAACCAAACTCGGATTAGCTGGAGTAAACTATACCATTTGACCACAGTGTCACCAAATTAATCAAATATACTTAATAATTGTACTACAATTGTGGTACATAATATTTTGATGGTATTCTTTAACCATATTTACTTTGATAAGTGATTTTTTTTTTTTTTTTTTTTCATTTTTATATAAACTTTTTTTTTGTCTTAACCAGGTATGAGACTATTAACGTCAATTTAACCAAGAAACCTGAGTGGTTCTTTGAAAAGAATCCACTAGGTCTAGTGCCCATTTTGGAGCTGGATGACAAAATTGTGTTCGAGTCAACTGCCACTAGCGAGTGGTTGGATGATGTTTACCCACAGAATAGGCTACAGCCAAGCGATCCTTACACCAGGGCCTGGGATAGGATTCTACTTGAATACTATGGAAAGGTGAGCTTGCTTACTTAATCTGATAATGTTTGTTTTCATGAACTATACAGTCAGATATAAGAGTTGAAGTATCAACAAAGATCAGTACAAAAATACCATTTTTCACTTCTATAAATTACAAATTGTTCAATTACATGGCATAGAAATTGTTTATATAAAATAAAAACAGCTCTTTAATATTTTTTTACATAAAAAAAAAGTTTTTTGATTAAATAAAAATTGCTCGAGCAATATAAAACAAAATGTCTCTTTCACAATAAAACAAAAATTGCTTGTTTATATTCAAATAGTGCTTAAAGATTTTCAGAATTTGTGTTTGTTTATTCTCACCCAGATAACAACTGCATTCTATGGTTTTATGCGCCAGCCAGAAGAAAGGGAGAAACATTTAGAAGATTTCTTGAAACATTTTGCGTTTTATGAAGGAGTTCTTTCTAAAAGAGGCGGACTGTTTTTTGGAGGTTTGTTTTTTAATGAAACTATTATTGGTAAAGTTTTTATTTATTTGCATTGTTTTACTGCCAAAATCTATTTCATGTGTTAACTTTTAATCAAAGAAAAGCAATTTGATGAGTTGAAATAATTTTAATGAAAATCATGAACACTTTTCAGGGGATAACCCTTCACTGATTGACTTCTACATTTGGCCACATTTGGAGAGGTTACCTCTCCTGGCCACATTTAACCCAAAGCTTGTTATAGACAAGGCCAAGTTCCCCAAACTGGCAGCTTGGTATGATGCTATGCTACAAACTCCAGCTGTTAAAGCCACAAAGATGAGTCCTGAGAGCCAGATGGAGTTTTTTAAGTCGTATTCATCTGGTGCTCCTAATTATGATGTTGGCTTGGAAGAGTAAAATATAGTCTTATAAATGGAAGAATTTTAAAAGAAAATTATAATCTTGATTTTTAAAATCAATTAAATTGGGCCTAAGTGCATCGCTTTTTATAAATTTTAATAAAACTTGATTTAAATTGTATAACACTTAGCTTAATAACACTAAAGTTATTATCAAAGCATAGGCTTCATCCTTAAACTCGAATGTGCAGGACTTAAAATATAAATTTATTTTTATAGAAAACTTGCCAAATCTTGCTCAAACATTTTAGTTGTTTAAATATACACATTGATTTTTTCTTATCATATAGGCAGTTTGGAAAATGAATGTTTTAATTGTTTTATGTAATCTCAAACAAAACTTTATTCATTTTTATGTAAAGGCACTTGTTTATATGTTACTCTGAAAAAGCCATACAATTGAAAACTATGTATTTTTATATTTGATTACCTGTATACATTTTGTTAATTTTTTCACTTGTCTTTACACCAACCAAAATAACAATGTGAAGATCATGTTTCTGTAGCCTACAAATTGTTTTTTTAAGCCTTGTCTTTCTTCAATTTACAAGTGTTGTTTTCTTTTGCTGTACATTCTTATTGTTTAAGTCTATTTGTCTGGGATGTACAGCCTTTCCTGTTTCATAATTCTCCCTGCATTAAGTATTTACAGACCTCATTTTAATTTGAATACAGGTGTTATACAAAGCTATGTTAATGCTAATTTAGTATTGCTTATAAATATTATTTATAGTTATAAATTAACCTCCATATGTTGGTTGGGGTGGTGATTACCTTTCACATCCACCTGTTGAGTCCATAAATAAACACAAAGAATAAGATCAAATTCCATTTCTTCACCAGATATATCAGGGATACAATCTTATTTTGTTCCATTACGTTAATGTATTTCAATGAAGTTTAGAGCCTATTCCTTTTTTAATGGAATGCAAGATGAGCAGTGTTGATGTTCCCCTATCATTATATCAATGCTGAACTCTGCCAAAGTGTCATTAATATTCAATGAATATATTATCAAGTTAACACTATAGGTTTCAAACAAGATAAATAAGATAGGATCATTGTAAACTTATAGTTTAAAATAAAATTGTTTTTTTTTAATTGGTTAACCATTTCTTGGAAAGTAGTGAATCAACTGGTGCTTTACTGTCGCTAGTCTTTTGATATTTTTTGTGATTGAATGTGCTTATACAGAATAAATAATTATAATTATGAAAATAATTAATTTTTTTTAAAATTTATTGATTTGTCAGTCTACTACTACCAGTGCTAAAATTAGTGAGTTATACTCTCTCTTAAAGGAACGGAATTAGCTTTAGCAATGTGAAGACTCTTCAAAACTGATATTTATAACAGAGTATATAACATAAGATATATGATTTAATTAATCTTTATTACGGATGTTTGTTTTTTTTTAAATTGTTCTAAAAATTGTAATTGAAAATTGTCGAAATGCTATAGATTTGTTGTTACGAAACTACAGGACTAATTTAAGTCTTTATGCAATGGAATTGTTTTTTTTTTTTTGGGCCTAGCCTACTGTAATTAGATGGGAAATAAACTTATTAAAAAAGCAGTTGTTGAAAAATGTGTTAACCACCTTCATAATCATGCAACGAAAGGTTTCTGTTGCTTTTATGAAGCTACAAAAAGGGGAAGTAACCCATTAGCTATAGGGATAATATATTTATTAGTAATTCGCGAGTACTCTGGTTGTTAGATAACAATTTGGCTGCTGATCAATCCCTAAACAAAACCAACATCAGCAGTTTCTTACAGACATCTCTAAAGGGTTTGATGTGATTGGAGGATTGTTGTTTGTGCGACCCACAAGTAAAATCTGCTTAAACAATGTGAACTCATGCATGGTTGAAAAATGTTTTATATTTAAATAAAAAAAGATAAAAATATGGGAGGGGGGGGGGGAGAATTCGTCCTAAATTGAACTGACGTCACGGTTTTTATTTCCCTCACCACTAGAAAATCATGTTATTATTGAATTTTGATTTTATTGAGTTATTTCCCTTAATAACTGATCGAATAGTAGGCCCTACAACAATTACAAGTACACTCGCAGCTACCAACCGTTCCTTGCTTTTTTTGATTCAGTAGAAACAATATTGACAATACATTTCTAATCTCTATCTGATAGACCTGGATTCAATCTAAAAATGACTTTTTTATTATGACCGCAACAACCTCCTCAAACACCCTCTACCATTAGTTTCATTTGATTATATTGATAAACCGTACGCTATTACTCAGAGTCGTAGCGAGGGGGGGGGGGGGGGTCGGGGGGTGCGGACCGCACCGGGTGACACCATTTAGGAGGGGGTGACACCAAGGCAAAAAATTGCAAAATATATCAAGAAAAACTTGAGGGGGTGCAAATCGAAAGTTTGAGGGGGGGGGGTGCAGATCGAAAGTTTGAGGGGGGTGCAAATAAAAAAATTGAAAGTTTGTCCCCGGGAAGGGTCGCTACGCCTCTGGGGGGGGTGATAACATTAAGTGCCATACCGTGTGACACCCGACCTCGCTACGCCACTGCAGAACAAATTATATGTCAGATTAGGAAACAAAAACAGTCCATTTAATCTCTAGTGAGGAGTGAACTCATGCATGGTTGAAAAATGTTTTATATTTAAATAAAAAAAAATAAAAATATGGGAGGGGGGGGGGGGAGAATTCGTCCTAAATTGAACTGACGTCACGGTTTTTATTTCCCTCACCACTAGAAAATCATGTTATTATTGAATTTTGATTTTATTGAGTTATTTCCCTTAATAACTGATCGAATAGTAGGCCCTACAACAATTACAAGTACACTCGCAGCTACCAACCGTTCCTTGCTTTTTTTGATTCAGTAGAAACGATATTGACAATACATTTCTAATCTCTATCTGATAGACCTGGATTCAATCTAAAAATGACTTTTTTATTATGACCGCAACAACCTCTTCAAACACCCTCTACCATTAGTTTCATTTGATTATATTGATAAACCGTACGCTATTACTCAGAGTCGTAGCGAGGGGGGGGGGGGGGTCGGGGGTGCGGACCGCACCGGGTGACACCATTTAGGAGGGGGTGACACCAAGGCAAAAAAATAGCAAAATATATCAAGAAAAACTTGAGGGGGTGCAAATCGAAAGTTTGAGGGGGGGGGGTGCAAATCGAAAGTTTGAGGGGGGTGCAAATAAAAAAATTGAAAGTTTGTCCCTGGGAAGGGTCGCTACGCCTCTGGGGGGGGGGGGTGATAACATTAAGTGCCATACCGTGTGACACCCGACCTCGCTACGCCACTGCAGAACAAATTATATGTCAGATTAGGAAACAAAACAGTCCATTTAATCTCTAGTGAGGAGTGAAAACTGTAATTCTTAAACCACCAAGGAGGCAAGACAAACCCACCAAGGAGACAAGGCAAACTGACGCTGAAGGGAAAAAAAAAGATTAAATTAGGAAAGGACACATTTTAAGACGTGACATGAAATACAGGTAGATTCTGCTCACGAACTTGACAATGACAGCCTTGCTCTAGGTCAGTAGGTTGATGACCTTGCTCAAGGCCGTACTTACACTCCGTGACGAAGAACGTGATCTGAGCAAGACGCATCGCCACGCGCAGCCAATCAAACACTGTAGAATATGTAAACAGGAAAATCCCCTCGATACACAACTGTAGCTAGTCATTACCTGATATGTGGACAGTTACTTTTTGGAATATATTTTTTGACAGATGCACAGCGGACAGATTAGAATAAACTACTTTGAATAAAAAAACATAAACAACAAAGCATTTTAGATCTAGATTTTATTTAACTGCAAAGATACATGCTTATATTTAATTCGTATATTTAATTTTAATTAATAGTAATAGTAATAAGTATGAGTCAAAAAGCATACACAAGCGGTAGGTAGGCCTATATAATCAAAATAGTTTATATATCTTTCTAGATATAATTATCCATTATTTTATTTAATCTAGACCTATTATTATAATGACTTTTATAATATTTAAATTAAGTTCAAGGCAATCAAGAGTTATTTAGTAGTAGTAGCCAAGCCAAACAAACGAGTGAAGTTAGAGTGAAATTATGGTCTAATGTGGCAAATCAGCTTGAAATAACCGATTTTCTACCAGTATATATGTCTTGTCTTAAATTATTTTTTTTACACATTTTAGCAAAAAAGATTATGTAGAATGTAGAGGCCCAAACCAATTGTGTTATCGGCAGCGCTAAATAAATACTCGCGCACTTTATTAATCGATTCTGGGCTGATAAATTTGTAGTAAAGGAGGCTTAACTAAAAATCATAATTAGATCAATGTATCAAAAACTTGTAGGGCGAACTTATGACGAGAAATCAAATGGATTTTAAGTAGATATTGACAAATAAAAATTGTTTTATATTATGTAAGTCACTTTACTTTGAACGATTTCTCTTTGTTGTATGCAAAGGCTCCACATATCCCCCACTGAAACCAGGGGTTCTCCGCCTGTACAGCATGCGGTTCTGTCCCTATGCTCAGAGAGCTAGGCTGGTGTTGGCACACAAGAATATACCGTGAGTTTTTTCTTCTTTTAATCAACATCATTGCCTGCTTATTTAATCATTGTTTGTTGTTTTATTGATAGGGTTGGCTGAAGTGTTTTTCACCTCTTCCCCCTCGCACTAACCCCCCCCCCCCCAATGTTCCCCAAATTGAAAACTGTATCACTTTCAGCTATATTTAGTGTTCCTATCAATTATTTTTATAAGTGGTCACTGCCCTCACCTTCCCTACCCTTGACTTGAGGTAGGGAAAAAAATACATTTAAATAAAAAAAAATGTATACGTTTGCCATCTTCTGCTCCACGAGAAGTTTCAGTAACTCCCTGGAAGTTTTAAGTGCCAACCCCCCCTCCTCCTCCTGAAGCAACCACTATAAATGTACTTACTGCAGTAACTCAGAGCTAAGTGGACATCATGGTTGTCCTATGGGTAAGGACCAAATATTTGAGACTCACTGAGGACCCTTGGAGTTCCTTATATAACTATTTACCTGCCCTTTGCCACCAGGGTTTCTTCATGGCGTCTCTTGGGGGGGGGGGGGTGGTTGCACCCCCCTGAAGAAAGCATACCACCCCTCTGAACTAAATGCAGTTTATATAGAAAATATATACTTTTAACAGTGTCTGACCCCCCCCCCCCGCACCAAATAGTCTGGTAGAAACACTGTTTACCACAGAGAATGTGGAGCTGAAATATTCAAAAACATTAACCCCACACAATTTAATTTGATTTTATTCTTACATTTGCTTTTACTATTTTCAGTCTAACAATAGTAAACTTTTTAATGATAGTATTATAACTATTTTAGTTTTTAACCATATTTACTATTAAATAGTAGGCTGCGATTATATAATAGATTTTATGGCTCACAGGTATGAAACAGTTAACATAAATCTAGTCCAAAAACCAGAATGGCTGTTTGAGAAGAATCCGTTTGGTCAGACACCAACTGTGGAGCTGGATGATAAAATTGTGTATGAATCCACTGCCACTTGTGAGTGGCTGGATGATGTGTATCCACAATCCAAACTGCAATCCAGTGATCCTTATACTAAAGCATGGGATAGGATACTTCTGGAATATTTTGGGAAAGTGAGTTAAATAATAATTTGTTGCTTAAAGATTTAAAAAATGAAAATGTGTGAACTTAAACAAGAGATATTTAAATAACAGTATGGGCATTAGTATTTTAGAATGTTGGACTGTGTACTAGTACTGAATTTTAAAAATTCCTGTATAGTATTTATACAAAACACATAGCTAACTAAGATATTAGTATATAATAAAACAATAAGCAAGAAAGAAAATTAATTTTAGAAAAAGTGTAATTGATTTAACCGAAAATAGATACAAGTAAAAAAACAACTATGGTTTCTTTGTAGTTTAATACCTACTTTAGGGTGTTATTCAAATACTTATAAAATTACATTTTTTAAAAATTGAAATTGATTGTGTCCCTTGATTGCAGGTACTTACCTCATTTTATGGTTTTTTGAGAAAGCCAGAAGAAAGAGACAAACATGTGGAAGACTTTTTGAAACATTTTAAATTCTATGAGGATATTCTGGCCAAAAGAGGAGGACCTTTTCTTGGGGGTTAGCTATTTTTCTGAATTTAGAGAAAAACCAAAAGTATTAAACTTCTGTTTTTAAAAATAGGCCCCTACAATATTTATTAAAATATTAGTGTGAACATTTTTCATGATGAACATAAATGTATGAAAAGTCTAGTTGTTGCCTAATTTCAATTCCTAATGTCATGCAAACCCTAAAAAAAGAAATTGTTTATCTATATTGAACAGGATGTTTTATTCAACATTTAAATCTTATTCTCTGTATAAACATTTCTTGTTTAAAAATCATTTCACCTTTATGTCATAATTTGTTGCTCATATAATCGCAATCAATGCTCATCTTCTGACATTCCACTGTCATATTTTGGTTGAATTAATTGTGTTGTTTAAATGTATCCTGTTAGTCTAAGTGTTTAGTCCTCTCCATCACCAAACTGTTTATCATTAAAAAAAAAACATTTTGATTAAAACTTAGTTGTTTTTATTTCAGGAAAAAATCCCTCAATGATAGATTTCTACATTGGCCACATTTTGAGAGGGTACCTGCCCTGGCCACCTTTGACTCTAAGCTTGTTGTGGACAAGTCAAAGTTACCCAAACTGGCAACCTGGTATGATGCCATGTACAAGACTCCTGCAGTTCAAGCCACTATGTGGGAGCCCAAGATGCATGCAGAGTTTTTGAAAGGCTTTGTGGCTGGCACCCCCAATTACGACTTAGGACCTAAATGAATAGTAAAGTTCCCTTCTCAAACTTAACGATCTTAACTAAATGAATAGTAAAGTTCCCTTCTCAAACTTAACGATCTTAACTAAATGAATAGTAAAGTTCCCTTTTCAAACCTAACGATCTTAACTAAATGAATAGTAAAGTTCCCTTTTCAAGCCTAACGATCTTAACTTAATGAATAGCAATGAATTATTTTTAGAAGTCATAAATTATTAAAAACTTAAGAAAAAAAAACTTTCTTAAAGGAAAAATGTAATGTTCAAACAACAGTTTGTTTTGTAACCAACTTTGTTTTAAAGCATGTATGTTCTTGAAAGGCTTAAATATAATTATATAGCAGTATCTATTTTAAGGAACTTTATTAAAAAATTGAAAAAATTCCTTACAAAATTTACTCTGCTTAGATTTTTAGGTTGATAATATCGTGTGAAGAAAACTGTTCAACCACAGGTCAACTAAATGGCTGTTTTAGTGTTGCATGCATTCCTGTGTTGCTATTGTATTTTCTGTGAACATTCCTGGGTATAATTATTAAAGGTTTTTGATGTTTATATAGTTTTTACTTGATGTTGTTGCATCTTAAAAAAAAATTATACATTGTATTTATATTTCATTTTTGTGTGTGTAATATTGCAGTTTTCACATTTCTTATTCAAAAACTTGTTACCTATTTTAAAACTCACATTTTTAAATTGTTGTTATTATTGTAAACCAGAGTAGTTTTGATGTTTAAAACTCCCATATATAAATTTGTCATACCAATTCCTATTTACAAGGAAAGATTTGTTAAAACTTTTTTCATTACTGTTTGTTACTATGTGCTGATAAAAGTCCTTGCTTTGAATTTAAAAAAAAAGATCAATACAATAATTCAAATCTATATTAACAGAACATTTTTTTATATCACAATTTTTTGTGCAGTGTATTTTATTTTAATATGTGTTTTATTAAACTTTATCATTGAGAAAAAATAGATTGTACGTTTGATATGTAATTTTGTTTTTCTTTAACAAACTTAGTAAGTTTTCCATCTACTCAAGTAATCTCCAACACAAAGCAGGAAGACTTAAACACTTAAACACACTCTTACAGCAAAATATATATGTACAGATGATTAGTACATAATTTATATGTATAGTGCATGTTATATATAAATACAAAAAAGTCTCTCTCTTTCCCTCTCTACATATAAATGTATATATTTAAATGCATATGTATATATATACATGTAAATATATATATATATATATATATATATATATATATATATATATATATATATATATATATATATATATATATATATATATATATATATATATATATATATATATATATATATATATATATATATATATATATATATATATATACACATATATATATACATAGAATAAACAAGATTTATATATTTATATGTATACACACACACACACGCATATATATATATATATATATATATATATATATATATATATATATATATATATATATATATATATATATATATATATATATATATACGTCTACATATGTATATACATATCTATTGTGTTTGTATTAAGACATACGACAGAATATTAAAAGAATCAAGAAGGTCGAATACAAACTCCAACATATACCTTGTCCTCTATATAATCTTCTAATTGAATAATCGGTGATGAGCATCATTAGGTGACGTTGCGCTATTTAGGCAGATGGTAATGTCTACGTGTTGAATAATTGCTGAAGTTATGGGTTGACATAAAGCAATTTTAGCCAGTCCCCCCCCCCCCCCTCTCCCTCATCCTGCCACTATTGTCAAAATAATGTCGACACAGAAAGCCAAACGGCCGTCAACTTAAATAAAGACAAAAATAAGTTCCATTCCATTTGTAAATTTACCATTGTGTTTTGTCATTAAGGAAACGAAAGTTTTAAAAAAGACTACCTCTCATTTATTTAAACTGCTCCCCCTCCCGAACGTTTCTAGTATCGCATCGTCGCAAAGTTCTGAACACACCGTGACGCCATTAATGAACGACACTTTATCTGCCCAGAGATTTAGAACCACTGCGCTAACAGGCCACGGGCCTGCAGAATATTTCTTTACCTTTGGTATCACGTGGTGGCAGTCTGTGTACACTGGTAGCCGGCGCCTGTTGAGCTGATTCAAAGGGTTGGTTGAGTTGAGCTGGAACATACTACAGTCGCATCGCTAGAAATATACAACATTTGACGTCGTCACACAGCAAGCAACATACAGCATTTGACAGCCGTCCAGCATCATGTCTCAAAAAGCTTACGCTAAAGGTAAGTTTGTTTACTTGTAAAACTGAAATTAAACTTTAAAGTTTAAACAAATTGTAATGTGTATAAGGATGTACGTTTTCGCTAAATTTACAAGCTTGGGTGATTCTAGGCCAAAGAATACAATCCCTTTACCCCTGAAGTTATTTCTGAAAGAATGCTCTTGCTACTAATTTAAAATAAATAAATAAATACTTATTAAGCGCATGGTTTACTTTTTTCGCCTTTCATCTGAATGCCATTATACTGTGTAAAGTTGATTTGAATACTGCTAGGAAGGTTTCTGCAATTGAAAAAAAAATATATTCGGAGGCACATAGTTCCCCAGCGGTTATCTTAGAATATAGAATCAGCTGATTGGACGTCCTGCACCGGAATCAAAGGCACTATTTGATTCAATGATCAAAGTACACCAGGTGCATCAACCTGCGCCTTGGAGATCCGTATGAACCAATGCGTCCCAGGCTCTTCCATGAGCACTATGACACTTACGTTCGTTTTAAAGAGCGCCATACACTATGGATACATTGGACTACCATAATCGATGATTAAATCTTATCAGGGTGGTCATCCGGCGCCCCTGCTTTAGAGTACGATTAGGCGCTTCGAGTTTCCCAGAGGCTACCTTAGAACATGGGGGTCCGTTGCGAGTTGTTCTACCGTACTTTACGGAGAGTGATTAACGGACACTCAAGGCTTTCATACAGCCCGCCCTGGGGCGTCAGGGGGTAGTGTGGACAAACCCGCGTCCCAACAACCAAGATCCAAGAATTAAAGCGCCGGCATTGTTTACATTTAAATAATTCGAATTTAGGGAAGAAGATTTAGAAGGTGTAGAAATACAAGAAATCTTTATTAAATTATAAAATGTTTCGTCACTCATGTGTGTAGGACTAGATCGCTGCAACGATTGGGGGGGGGGGGGGAGGGGAAGGGGAGCGGCAGCACACAAACTCTGACAAAATACAAGCCATTCTTATTGGCATCACACATCAGATGACGCAATGTCTTTCAAAAACGTACTTTTGAATGAAGGTAAATTTTGTTTTTTTAAAAATGTGTGTTTTTCTTCTATAAGAGCTAGTTATGTTAAAATGTCAGGGAGAACCGCAAACGACAACTAAGACTGCTGGAATAAAAGAACAAACAATTTTATCTGCACGTCTAATAGGACCATGCAGCTCCAAGGAAGTCGAAACGAGGCTAGACCAAAGCTTGGACGGTCTAGATTTGGATAACCTCGCCCTTATTGAACTCAAACAACCTTGTATTATATTGGAGACTAAAGTTCTCCAGCACCTAGCACCGCCTTGCTGTATTGGGTTGCTCAAACTTTCGTCTATCAAGATAAGACATAAAATAATCAACCATTTCATAATCCCGGCGGGGTGGGAGGGGGGTGAGATTGGGACATGACACTGGGCGTTTCCACTCAGAATGCAGTCCGCTGAGTATCACATAGAACCCTTGTGAAGTGTGTAGGAAAGTAGATTACATTTTGTTTTGTTAATTTCAATCTTAGTTTTTTAAACGCAGTTACACTAATTTAAAAAAAAAAGCTGCCCATGAGGACCTATAGGGCAGAAAGTGGTCCGTAAATTGGACCGCAACATGATTGTAAAATAGGGAGAGTTCGTCTGTTCTAATTGTTTGGTATTCCTCCACCCCTCCCTCCCGCGCCGGTGACTTGCGATTTTCATTCAAACACAGAGTCCAAATATACCGAGTTATTAGACTAAAGTTCTCCAGCCCCGCCTTCTTGCACACGGCTTCTCACACGTCCGGATGTCGGCGACTTAATTTTTTTTACATAAATACTCTGTAGAGTTGAGCGAAGTTTTTTGAGGCGTCTTTTTCTTTCTAGATCTTAATTATATTAGATCTATTTGATCTATATCAAATACAATAAGTATTACGTATCAAAACTATATGCTCGTTGATTCAGACTTTAGCATGCTTTGCTTTCTGGATTTGATTCGAAAGATTTTTATCTATTCAATAACAATATGCAAGGCAGCAGTTTTTTATTTTTATTTTGGAGTTTTCTCCCCTAGATGGGTTGCTGTCTACAGCTAACGAGCCTCATCTGTCCCGGGGGTTTCGAACTCGATACTTTTAGAGTTAGCAATCATATGCTACACAACCACGCCGTCAGAAATGAAGATTTTAAAAATATAATTTCTGTATGAGATATCAACTACAAAATCATGTTCCCGTTGTTATATTTTTTTAAATCTTGAAAGCGTTAAAAATAGTGAGATTATCTCCCCTGCAGCGATTAATCATTCAGGTTACAGCAAACAGACCTGGCTATGCCAATACAGGCGATAGCCAAATGTTTGATTATGGCAATGGGGTTAGCTTAGACATGGGTGACGTGGCGAAAATTTGAGCTGGAATTTACTCGTCGTTTTGCAGTTAAATTAATTTGTTTATTTTGGGGAGGAAGGGGGTGAAAATACGGTGAACGGAAAAAAAGTCACAGGAAAAAAAAACACAGAAAAAAAGTCACAGTTTTTGCTAGGAAAAAAAGTCACAGAAAAAAAGTCACAGTGGAAAAATTTTATCGGAAAAAAAGTCACAGAAATAAAGTCACAGAAAAAAAGTCACAACAATCTTTTTAGAAATATTTTTATTAATTTGTAAAGTTGTAAAATTTTGAATGTTTATTGTTGTGGGTTGTATTTTTTGATAGCATAAATTATTTACAGACGTTAAGATTATGATTTATAACAATTGTAAGTAAAAATACTCTAAGATAATTAACACAACAATCTCAACTTTTGTTACGTATTTAGTTAAATACGCGGTAGAAAAGTTAATTATAAAAGAAATTTAGGCACATTTTGCCGTAGGCTATTCTCTGGTCGGCCTCTCCTCAGTAGGCATTGTCCGAACATATTTGTGTTGTTGACGTTATGCGTCAATGACAGCCTTTGAACCTTGTCGGCTTTCTGTTTTGATCCTAAGTTTTGTTATGTAATGAGCGTGATAAATGTGGGCAATAAAGGTGGTTGAACAAAACATAACTATTGTTGCCATGAGTTGAGGGCAGCAAGTCAGATGAACTTACCATTTCACGATAATTTAATATTGGTATTTTAAAAAAAAACGCGATGAAAAACGTGGATTTTGGGGCATTCTATTAAATGCTACTAAACTTAAGTTTAAAATAATTACAATCTACATAAAAAAATATTTTTTTTTAGATGAATTATAAAAATTCCTATGCGTATACAGACTACACACATTACATTACATTTATTAATCCTAAGTTAATTTGCACTCTCCAAATATTTAATACATAAAAGTATTAACAAATATCATGCAAATATATATTTGTGACTTTTTTTCCTGTGACTTTTTTTCCTGTGACTTTTTTTCCTGTGACTTTTTTTCTGTGTTTTTTTTTCCTGTGTTTTTTTTTCCTGTGACTTTTTTTCCTACAATCGAAAATACCCATAGTTTAATCGAGAAATTTGGGGAAATATGAAGACATGTAGGAGCATGTCTGGAGAGTGGTCTTGTCGTCTGGTTGGCAATAATGTTATAGAAATTTGGTAATTAAATATACAAGATTCTGGAGGTGACCATTGCTGTATGAAGTAAAAAATGGATATTATATGACGTCAACATTTGTGACTATATGAAGTCAACATTGGTGACTATAGGAAGTCAACTTTGGTGACTATATGAAGTAAACAGTAATGACTTTAAGAAGTCAACATTGGTGACAAAACGAAGTCAACATTTGCTACTATAGTCAACAGTGGTGACTAATTTATTAAGTCAAGATTTGTAACTATATGAAGTCAACTTAGGTGACTATAGAAAGTCAACATTTGTGATTATATGAAGTCAATATTGGTGACTATAGTCAACAATGGTTACTATATTAAGTCAACATTTGTATGAAGTCAACTTAGGTGACTATAGAAAGTCAACATAGTGATAACTATTTGATAGAGATCAATGACATAAGACAATGCAATATAGAGTCCTTTCATATGACGTCACGTCCGTTCGTGATACCTACGCCCGCCGCCACAGTGGTGTACACAAGACGTAAACACAATCAGCTGTTCGCCAGCGCTGGACGTGTTCACCAGCGCTGGACGCGTTCACTGTATGTAAAGAACCGCACCCGCGGAAAAGGAAAAATACGTTAAAAAACTTGAACTCTTAGGAATTGAAGATCCTTATACTGTTATTGACAGTTTCGTATAAATAAATATGTGGACAAAATTTCTAAATAAAAATACTGTTAGTAATACTGTTTGCGTTTAGAGTTAAAGTAGCCGAATCTGATCAAATGCAGTTCTCGATACTTTGTTTCATGTAAGGACAGTAAAATAATAAACTTCATTTTAATTATAAAAGATAACTATTAATAAAACAAATATGCTCGACCTTCACAAATACTAATAGTAAAAGACAAAGTCAAAAGTAATAGGCTAATAAGAATAATAAGATCTAATAGTAGGCCTAATACCAGGCTCCGCTGGGTAGACATAGAATCTAGAATCTACTTCTTTACTTAAATTTAATTACTTTAGATCTACATTCGATTCAAAATACACCATAATAAATCAAAAGTAGTCATAATAGGCCTAATAAAGCATTTAATTGTCTCTAAGATCTAAAATCTCGCTCTATTATCTAATCATTTTTTTAGCAAACGAAATTTTCTGAAATTGAAATAGATTATATGACTAGACTTAGATCTAGAATCTGCTACTTAAATTAAATTGTAAAAACTTTATACAAGCATGTAGTTGATATTATTGTAGTAGAAGGCTTTAATAAATTACTAAGGCCTACCTACTTTGTTGTCTTTTTACAGCAATATGTATCTGATACTGGACTGAGTTTAATTAAATTCAAATTCATATCTAGTAATTGGTCTACTAAGTTTTTGTAGCCTAGTAGTACAATCTAGATCATACCAGCCAACAACAAATAACCACATTATTATTATTTGGTTAATGATTAGGCTAATTTTTTTTTTAAATCCACTGTTTATAAAAGAAACAAATCAAGCTAGAAACATTATAAGTGAGATGGTTTAGAATAATAACAATGGACCCAGTCTACAATTGATACAATTGCAGGTCTACATAGGGCCTACAGTCTAGTAGTTTACAGTAGGCACCTAGTGTGTAGCTAGTATACTAGTGTGTAGCTGTCCAGAGTTAAGATTCTTAATGCCTTAATGCTTTCCCCTGATAAGCCGTGTGTGCTATAAATGACATAACATGACACCGAGGTGAGAAGTGTTGAGGGGAGAGCAGTGGGACTTTCCCCTTTGTTCTCCCTGCTGGGCCCTGAGGGTCAAAATTATATCAGAAATACTATCTCTGTGGGGCTGGGTATCACGGAGGTGAGACATTTTCAGGGGAGGGCAGGGCAGACTCCTCTTTGGTTTTATTGTGGGCTAGATACAGGTGGGGGCAGCCATCATGAGGGTTGAACGTCAGTATTAATGTGTCTGATTACTTCCCTGCTGGATTATAAGGGTCTTAAATTGTATAACATGCTACCCAGATTGGTTATTACCCATGGATTATATTAGCCGTTGTAGTGTGGGTTTTGTAGGAGTTAAGTGGTCTCACGTTTGCCACAGTAGATAACCTCTAATATATTACTGCATTTGATCAGCTTCGTCTACTTAAACTCTAAACGCAAACGGTATTACTAACAGTATTTTTATTTAGAAATTTCGGCCACATATTTATATTATCCACGAAACTGTCAATAACTGTATAAGGATCTTCAATTCCTAAGAGTTCAAGTTTTTAAACATATTTTTCCTTTTCCGCGGGCGCGATTCTTTTCATACGGTGAACACGTCCAGCGCTGGTGAACACGTCCAGCGCTGGCGAACAGCTGATTGTGTTTACGTCTGATGTACACCACTGTGGCGGCGGGCGTAGGTATCACGTGATTTAGGTCACGTGTTTGCAAGGACTCTATTCCACTGTGGTGCTCTGATTCTATTTTTAGGTTCGGATTTCCCCCCACTGAAGCCAGGGGTTCTCCGTCTGTACAGCATGAGGTTCTGTCCCTTTGCTCAGCGGGCCAGGCTAGTGCTGGCACACAAGAACATTCCGTGAGTTACTTCCCTTTTTTAAAAATTTGAATTTTGATTACAGACTTGTACCATTTGGGCTGTCAAGCAGAGTTAGGATTTTGTGTATATTAGTAAAGACTATGGTGGGCGGGGGTATGGGGGTTGTATTTGAAAAGACATATTGGGGCGTCATTAGGTTGGGCATCGCACAGTATTGAACACGCCCCAGCCCCCGTATTAAGAATAGATGAACAGCTCTGGTTAACAGTTTTCCGAATTTTAAAATTTGATAATTGGAAGTACGGATCGTGATTGCGAGTAATTATGACGTCACTAATATGTGACGCGACCAGGGGTACGGGTGTGAGGTGTGACACGCCTTTATTTTAATACAAAGACCGATAACATAATTAATTATAAATCAATTAATTAAAACACAGCTGCGAGGTGATTAACCTTGACCTCCAAAACAAGCCGGACTGGTTCCTGAAGAAAAACCCCGAGGGGACCGTCCCCACCCTGGAGCTGGACGACAAGGTCATGTGGGAGTCCACGGCCACGTCCGAGTGGCTGGACGACGTCTACCCTCAGAACAAGCTGCAGGCCAGTGACCCCTACATCAGGGCACTGGACAGGATGTTGTTGGAGTACTCGAGCAAGGTACTCTTTAGTGCAGGTGTACTGTTACAGGCAGGTGTTACTGAGTACTGTTGGTGCAGGTGTTAAAGGGTACTGTTGATGCGGGTGTACTGTTACAGGGTTTTAAGGCAGGTGTTATTGGTTGCTGTTGGTGTAGGTGTTATTGGGTACTGTTGGTGTAGGTGTTTTTGGTTACTGTTGGTGTAGGTGTTATTGGGTACTGTTGGAGTAGATTATTGGGCGCTTTTTTTTTGTAGGTGTTATTGGGTACTTTTGGTGTAGGTGTTATTGGTTGCTTTTTTGTGTAGGTGTTATTGGGCACTGTTGGTGTAGGTGTTATTGGGTACTGTTGGTGTAGGTTATTGGGTATTGTTGGTGTAGGTGTTACAGGGTACTGTTGGTACAGGTGTTATTGGGTAATGTTGGTGTAGGTGTTACAGGGTACTGTTGGTACAGGTGTTATTGGGTAATGTTGGTGTAGGTGTTATTGGGTAATGTTGGTGTAGGTGTTATTGGGTACTGTTGGTGTAGGTGTTATTGGGTACTGTTGGTGTATGTGTTATTGGGTACTGTTGGTGCAGGTGTACTGTTACAGGGTTTTAAGGCAGTTTTTATTGAGTACTGTTGGTGTAGGTGTTACATGGTACTGTTGGTGCAGGTGTACTGTTACAGGGTACTGTTGGTACATGTGTTACAGGGTACTGTTAATTCAGGTTTACTGTTACAGGGTTTTAAGGCGGGTGTTATTGGGTACTGTTGTTGTAGGTGTTATATAGTACTGTTGGTGTAGGTGTTATTGGGTACTGTTGGTGTAGGTGTTATTGGGTACTGTTGGTGTAGGTGTTACAGGGTACTGTTGGTGTAGGTGTTATTGGGTACTGTTAGTGTAGGTGTTACAGGGTACTGTTGGAGTAGGTGTTATTGGGTACTGTTAGTGCAGGTGTTATTGGGTACTGTTGGTGTAGGTGTTACATGGTACTGTTGGTGTAGGTGTTACAGGGTACTGTTGGTGTAGGTGTTACAGGGTACTGTTGGTGTAGGTGTTACAGGGTACTGTTGGTGTAGGTGTTACAGGGTACTGTTGGTGTAGGTGTTATTGGGTACTGTTGGTGTAGGTGTACTGTAACTGTTACAGGGTACTGTTAATGTATGTGTACTTTAAGAAGGTACTGTTAGTGCAGTTGTACTTGAACAAGTTACTCTTAGTGCTGATGTACTTGTTACTATTAGTGCTGATGTACTTTTAGAGGGTACTGCTAATGTAGGTGTACTGTTGAAAGAACTGTTAATGTAAGTGTAAGGTTACAATGTAATGTAAGTGCAGATATATCTTTCTAAGTTACTATTAAAGCGAGTATATTGTAACAATACACTGTAACTATTATTGCAGGCGAAGTGTTACAATGTACCCTATAATGAGCGTTATTAATATAATGAAATACAGATTACACTCACATCTACAAGCGTTTAAACTTTACTCTTTAAGTTCTTCAGAATTTCTTGAACAAACTGTTCACCGCTTGAGTATAATAGTGTTATTGAAATTGTGTTTAGAATTCTTCTCCCCCCTTTTGTCAACATTTCACTAACATGGACGTGAATTACGAAGGTCTAAGCTGCTCATGCCACGCCCACAAATTAAAAAAAAAACACTATATCTTAGCTCCTAATGAAGCTAGAGGCACAATATTGGTATCAATCTAATTGGGGAAAAAAATCTATTTTTTTCTTCTGGTATAATTTTATTTGAAATTAGTAGAGTTTAAAAACTACGTGCAACAACCTAAGGGGCCATTCATAAATGACGTCACGCTTTTTTTGACGTATTTTACCTCCCCCCTCCCCTCCGTCACACATCGTCACAAAAAGCCAGACCCCCCCCCCCTAAAATGAAGTCACACCTCAGCATACAAATCCCCTCAAAATTGCAGTTGAATTTTTCTTAAAACATCGATATATTTTTCTAAAATCGTGTCTGAACTCTCTCAACATAGAATATTTTAATCAATTTCTATTAATATTTATTAAAACAGTTTTCTAAAACACGAAATAACGGCTAAAATTCGTTTTCTAACATTGCTTTTAATAATGCAAAACTGTGACGTCACACCATCTGACCCCCCCCCCCCCTACCCCTCATCACACACACCGTCACAAAATTACGGACACCCCCTCCCCCTTCGAGTGTGACGTCATTTATGGACGACCCCTAATTCCGTAGAGAATTTCTAACAAAAGATCGTCTAGTCTCTAACACCAGATCTGTTAAGTGTCTCTGATCTTTACCAGGTGACCACAACGTTCTACACGTTTATAAGGAGTCCTGGAGACAGAGACAAGCTTGTGGGAGAACTGACCAAACACTTCCAGACCTACGAGGATTTTTTGGTCAAGAGAAAGGGTGAATTCTACGGAGGTGAGCAAAGCGGATGTTGTTTTTTTTTTTACATAACAAAATATATTTTATGTTTTTATGTTTTAAAATATGTTTTATGTTTTTCATTAGTTTGCTGTAATTAAAATTTGGATGAAAAGTATTTTAATTTTTTAATGATTTGGCCGAAGGAGCTTGGACATACTTTTGCTTTTAGCTCAGTAAGGACTGTGGGTTGGTGGGGGGGGGGGGGGGGATTAAGGGGGACTTATGTGAAAGTCAACAGTGTTTCTTTCAGATATTTTTCTCCTGGAAGGGGAGGGGGGGGGATGACACGTAAATTTAGAGGTTAAAGTTTATTTTCTATGTAAATTATATATTTTAAATATTTCATCCGGAGTGGGGAGGGGGCCGCCCTCCTACCCTATCAGAAAGAGACGCCTGAATAAAACTCTAACCATTAATATGTATAGACATGTAATAAATAGTGATAGGATAAAATATTTTAAGTATGCGGGGTAGCAGTTATATAAGCATAGCTATGAATCTACGATAAATGAAAAACCTACTCTATATTTAACCTATTTGCAAAACGAAGGGAAATAAACTGACAATAAATTAAATATAATCCTATTAACTTAAACGAAATGTATTCTAATTGCCAGAAGAGTCACAATCTTATTATAGTTTCAGTCATTTACTTTTATGATCTTCCCCAGGTTCTAAACCGTCCCTGATCGACTTCTTCCTGTGGCCCATCATGGAACGGATGCCCATGCTGACCACCATGGACCAGAGGGCTGGCATCGACAAGAAGACCTTCCCTAAACTCAGCGCCTGGGTCGAGGCCATGGCCAAGGTCCCCGCGGTCAAGGCCACGGCCTTTGACCCCAAGACTCACCTGCATTTCCTGACCGGGTTCTTTGCAGGGAAGGCTGATCCGAATTATGGTCTGCAGGAGTGAGGGGGGGGGGGGGCTCCCTCTCCTATCATCCATGGGGGGGGGGGGGCTCCTTCTCCTATCATCAAGTGGGGGTGGGGGCTCCCTCTCCTGTCATCAAGGAGGGGGTGGGGGCTCCCTCCCCTATCATCAAGGGTGGGGGGGGGGGCTCCCTCCCTTATCATCAAAGACACGTGATATCAATTCCTTAAGTCAATTCATATATTTAATAGTAATAGAAGCCCATGTTGGGATTATAAATAAACCCTAGTATCCATATTTACCTCATTGTATAAGACGGTTAGTCGTAATGTTTTAAGTGTTAAACAAATCTTAAAACGCCTCGGCTGTCCTAAACAGGGGCCTTGTGTAAATGGCAGTGTAGAAATGGAGTTACACTTAATATTATAAGACGCCATTAAGCTGTCACCAATTCATGCCAGGTACACATTTAAGCTGATTAAGCTGATGTAGGGTCTGAAGACCCAAATTGTGACACTTGACTTGTAACTGAAAGCACAAAATTTTGTTTTTACGAAATGTATTGCTTTACATTCTTTTCTAAATGACATTTAATTTTATTTTTTAACTTCTCGAAGCTCATGAAAATATTAAATTCTGAGGGCTTCGTGTTACTTTATGCTTTGAATAAACGACATGTTTTGTTTTCTTTAAAATAATTGCTTTATCAAGCTTTGTTTTATTGTTTTCTCTTAGTTTGTTTAGTAACTTTTTTATTTTTGGCATACTAGGGTGGGAAAAGATACTTTTAAATCTACTTCCTGCAAGTAAATACAACACACTACATAAAATTAATTGAAAATTAAATGTTCACATTGTATTTTTCAAGCGATGAAGCCACACCTGAAATATTTATCTGGAATTCTGTGTCGAGAATGACACAGTAAGAGACAAATTTATTGACTATGCGCACTAAAAAGGCATAACAAAAATTACATTCCAAAAAAATTATGCCAACACAGAAATATACGCACACAGATATTTGCGCATACAAATCAATTTAAAATTGCGCTCATTGAAAAAAAAGCGCTCACAAAAAAAAAATAAAAAATAAAATGCTTAAATACAAATTTCCGCTCACAGAAAAATACATTAATAGAAAAATGCGCTAAAAATGTGTGCACACAGAAAACTACACAACCAGACAGCTTAGTAATGAACATTATGGCTATGTGTGTATGTGTGTGTGCATGTGTGTGTCTGTGTGTCTGTGTGTCTGTTTTGCGGGCGTGTTTGAGTTCTTGCCAGTGTGTATATTTTAAGATTCCTCTGTAGGACTAACAATCCATTACACAGATGAAGTAGAGTTAATATGTTTCTTGACCTCGACCATATGAATCGATGGTGTGGTCAGCACGATGCCCAGCCGCCTCCACTTTCCCCAATAGAAGAGGCTCCTATCAGAGCTGGGTGGTCTCATGGACGTCCTACAGTCACAAGTCCGAACCGGGATCGCGTTGTGTATACATAGAAATGAATATTTCATCCTGATCTCTTAATAATTTGTTAGAAAAATAAAAGCCGCCTTAATATCTAAAATCTAGAGAAACATAAATGGTTAATATTTTCTGATTATACGTGCAATAGAAGATTTAATGTTTATGGTTAATTAAATCATGGGCGTGCAAAAGTACGCAAATTTGTCAGCACATTTATTCAATTGTTAGTAAAGTTTAACATAACAAGGGAAGGAACCATTTAAAACTAAATTAAATTAGTATTTCTGCAGTTATTTCCCCTATATTACAAATGTTTGTAATGCTCTCAAAATCAGGCCCAATTTTTCGCAACATCTAGACCGGTATAATATATGTGGGTTTTACTTTTGTCTTAAGACACATTTAGGGCTTGTGTGAAACGTAAAAAAATCAAGCACCACTGAGAATGTAGACGTTCCTTTAGTACCCATTAGAGCTGGGTAGACTCACATGCGCAGATTTAAAAAATCTGTTGTGGTTTATAAATGAGTGGTTATAGTGAACGATCATGCGGTTTCAAAGTTGAGGTTATATATATATATATATATATATATATATATATATATATATATATATATATATATATATATATATATATATATATATATATATATATATATATATATATATATATAGTTACGTACTTTTATACACTTTGGGAAGCTGACCGCAGTATGTGTAACAGCTTCCAGTGGGGACCCCTCCCCACTCACCCCCCCCACCCCTTACCGTAAAAAAAGCTAACTTTAATTTAATCAGATAATTAGAGGGTTTACTTGTCCGGTCAACTAAATAACTTTGAACAACGTGAGACATCTTTTGGCACAGGTCGTCCATCTAGTGTGGCTGTAGCAATGAATTGACTAGAAGTTGAGTAGATCATAGTCTTTGGTGAAGAGGGGTGACGCCCCGTGTCACCCGACCTAGTGAGGCCCTCTGTCACCCGACCTAGTGACGTCCTTTGTCACCCGACCTAGTGACGCCCTGTGTCACCCGCCCTAGTGACACCCCACATCACCTGACCAAGTGACGCCCCATTACACCCGACCTAGTGACGCCCTTTGTCACCCGACCTAGTGACGCCCTGTGTCACCCGACCTAGTGACGCCCTGTATCACCCGACCTAGTGACGCCTTGTATCACCCGACCTATTGACGCCCATTGTCACCCGACCTAGTGACGCCCTTTGTCACCCGACCTAGTGACGCCCTGTGTCACCCGACCTAGTGACGCCCTGTATCACCCGACCTAGTGACGCCCCATGTCACCCGACCTAGTGACGCCCCATGTCACCCGACCTAGTGACGCCCCATTACACCCGACCTAGTGACGCCTTGTGCCACCCGACCTAGTGACGCCCTGTGTCACCCGCCCTAGTGACACCCCACATCACCTGACCAAGTGACGCCCCATTACACCCGACCTAGTGACGCCCTTTGTCACCCGACCTAGTGACGCCCTGTGTCACCCGACCTAGTGACGCCCTGTATCACCCGACCTAGTGACGCCCATGTCACCCGACCTAGTGACGCCCATGTCACCCGACCTAGTGACGCCCCATGTCACCCGACCTAGTGACGCCCTGTATTACCCGATCTAGTGACGCCAAGTATCACCCGACCTAGTGACGCCCTGTATCACCCGACCTAGTGACGCCCCATTTCACCCGACCTAGTGACGCCCCATTTCACCCGACCTAGTGACGCCCTGTGCCACCCGACCTAGTGACGCCCCATTACACCCGACCTAGTGACGCCCTGTGTAACCCGACCTAGTGACGCCCTGTATCACCCGACCTAGTGACGCCCCCTGCCACCCGACCTAGTGACGCCAATTACATTGCTCATACGTTGTGTAAATTCCTGGTTGAAGACCTTCCTTTTTACTGTAAAACTTGTTTTGTTTGTAGGTGTGTTTAAACAAATTTTAGTGAAGAAATCTTTCAAGAATATCTCTTTATGAAAATATGACATGATGGCATGACTTTATGAAGATATGACTTTATGAGGACATAACTTTATGAAATACGACTTATGGGGACATGAATTTATGAAAATATGTGATGAGGACATGGCTGAATGAAAATAAGGACATCAGTGGCGTAGCGACGGGGTGGGGTACATATGTCCGCGGGCGCCGACCCTAGGGGCGCCTAAATGGGATGGAAAAGAAATTAAAAGCTCATTTTAGTTACAGATTTGAATTATAAATATAAAAAAAAAATGTATCGGGGGGGGGGGGGGGGGGGGGGGCAAATTGAAAGTTTGTCCCCGGGCGCCGGGAGGAGTCGCTATGCCTCTGGAGGACATGACTTCTGAAAGCATGATTTTATTAGGACATGACTTCTGAAAGCATGATTTTATTAGGACATGACTTCTGAAAGCATGATTTTATTAGGACATGACTTCTGAAAACTTTTTATGACGACCTGATACCACGAAACATGACTTGTTGAAAACATGACTTCAAGCGAACATGACTTCTTGAAAATATGACTTTATGTGGACTTGATCCCACAAAATGACTTCTTAAAAGTATGACTTCACGAGAACTTGACCTTACAAATAAATATGACTTTATAAAATCAGAAAAATTACTTCCAGGATTAGAAAAATGCCTGAGCGACGATAAGCCTAATTACGACCGCTCATCTCACATGTGCGAATGATGTTTTTTAAAATCGCGTGAGCACCACGGACCAATAAGAAACTCAGTTCTGCTGGCAGTTATCTTAGTGCTGTCGTCTGCCTATCGAGCACTTTATTACCTCACGTCACAACGGCACGGGCGGAAAATTCCGATTCTAAAAATAGCTCAAAAATATAATAAAATATTGCCTGCGGAGTTTTAAGGTAGGAGGTGGGGGGATGAAGTTGAGGGTGGGGAGGGGAAGGGGGATGAAGTTGAAGGTGGGAAGAAGGATGAAGATGAGGATGGTGCATGTAGTTGAGGGTGGGAATGGGGATGAAGATGAGGATGGGGGGGGGGGGATAAGTTGAGTGTGTGTGGGGGGGGGGGGGTGAAGCTGAGGGTAGGGGGGAGGGGGATGAAGGTGAGGGGGGTAAAGTTGAGGGTAGGGGGGAGGGGGATGAAGTTGAGGGTGGGTGAAGGAGGTGAAGATGAGGGTGGGGGAGGGGGAGAAGTTGAACGTGATGGAGGGGGATGAGGATGAGGATGGGGGAGGTGCATGCACGTGGAAGTCATATTGACGTTTCTGACAGCGAATCTGATACTATCTTCACCCCTCCCCCCACCCGCCCATCTTACCTTGCTCTGTTGAAGTTTTTTTTTTTTTTGCCATTCTTTATCAGCCGACGTACAGGTACACAACACACACACGCATAGGTAGATCGTGGGAAACTCATGACCCGGTGCGCACGTGCGTCGACCTTTAAGGTGAGCCCGACTAAACGTCTAGCCGGCAACTTGTGGGGGTGTGGGGGTGTGGGGAGGGGGGCATAGGAGGAGGAAGGATAGAGTAGGGGGTAAGATACTCACTCCTATTAGTGCTAATCGTGATAGGTGTCAGACTAAATGC